CTTACCTACATTCCCATGCCGGATTTGAATACTGATAACAGTCTTTGGGTTAATATCAAAATTAGAAATACATGTACTTCAATACTATTTGGTGTACATTATCGCTTTCCTAGTATGAATGTAAATGAGGAAAATGCTTATTTTGACCATCTAAGCGAAAATCTCTCCAAAGCATCCAAGATAAAATGTGACTCTATTTTATCCAACTTAAATCTCATCCAACTAGTAAAAGAGCCTACCAGAATAACAAGGAACTCAAGAACCTGCATTGACCTTTCTATTACAAACAAGCCTTTTCTCGTTAGGGAATTGGTTGTTTCTGACCCTATTGGTAATACTGACCACTCTACTATTTTGACCACTCTTCCATCAAAACTCAGTAAGAGAGACAAATTAAAGAAAACCATTTGGAAATATGACCAGGCTGATATTGAGGGTATAAATTCCAACATTTGTAATTTTGACTTGACTGGACTATTTAATCAGAGTAATAGAGATATTAATGTTACAACTGAAAGGTTTTTTATGTCATATTTTTGACATATTTTCAAAATACATTCCTCAAAAAACATTAATTTCAAATGCAAATGATCAACTTTGGATGAACTCAAAAATTAAACGCGAAATCAATAAGAAAGAACGACTTTATCGGAAAACCAAATCAAAAAATGACAGTTGACAACTACACTGCTCAAGTTGAAAAGGTCAAATCATTAATAAAAGAGGCAAAATTAAATTACCAGGCCGGAAAACATTGTAAAACAGATTAATGAATCAACCTGTAAAGGAAAACAATACTGGAACATAGTCAATTATTTTCTATCCAGAACTTTTCATGCTTTACTTCCTAGTTTGAAGTGCAGTTTTTCAGATCACATAGCTACAACTGAGGATGAAAAAGCTGAGTGTTTCCTTAACCTTTTTCCCTCAAAATATCATAATTTAAACCAAGTGGATAACGATGCACTTCCACATTTTCCAAACAGAACTGGAACATCAATTGACCATATTATCTACCAATCCAGATGAAATTCTTCAAATAATCCAGTCCTTTGATCGTGATAAAGCCTGTGGTCTTGACAAAATTATTAACAGAATGACAAAAATAGCCCAGGAAGCATTATCCTTCCAGTTATCAAAATTGTTTAACATGATTTTTGCATATGGCTAATTTCCCAGTGGCTGGAAACTTGGAAAAATTTCTCCAATTTATAAGAAGTCTGGTAGATCACAAGTTGAGAATTATAGACCGATTACTTTGCTAAGCACATTTTCCAAAATATTTGAAAAAGTTGTGCATAATCGCATTTTAACGCATCTACTTGAAAATAACCTTCTTTATCAATTTCAATCTGGATTTCTTCCAGGACACAACACTGAGCTACAACTTTTAGCAATAACTGACTACATATATCTTTAGCGAAATGGAAAAGGGGAACTGTGTTAATTCTGTTTATTTAGACGTGGCGTCTGCTTTTGATCCTGTACCGCATAACTTAATCATTCACAAGATGAAATCATATGGAATTCAATGTAAATTAGCCGACGTCTGCACTTCTTACTTAGAAAAATCTGTGTCACTGTAGATGATCACACATCAAACTTTTCTCCTTACCACTTCATAAACTCCGGTGTGCCTCAGGGGTCCATAATCGGACCCCTGAAGGCCTGATGTTTCTGATATACATAAATGACCTCCCTGACACTCTGACCTCAAAAAACTTTTATCTATGCAGATGACACCTCCTTATACTCTTTCTTTCACCCTTCTGGCAATCAAACTGGCCAACTCCAAAATGACCTAAATCTTTTAAGTGTATGGTCTAAAACCTGACAATTGAAATTTAAAGCATCTAAAAGTGCTCATTTAGTTTTTCGCTCAAAAATATTCAAATGTCTCCGCTTTACTTTGATGGTGAAATGATCCCTCAAAAGCAATCACACAAGCACCTGGGTTTCATCTTAGATGAGAATTTGACTTTTAATGACTATATAAACTACCTGTCTAATAAAGTTCAAAAACTGTTAAATCCTTTGAAGCTCATATCAAACAAAATACAGTCGCACCATCTTGAAATAATGTATAATTCATATTTGGCGTCTCATTTTGACTATTGTAGCTCCATTTACGGATCGTCGTCCTTGGCGGCCTTATCAAATCTTGATAAATTCCACTATCAAGCTGCTGTTATATGTGCTGGGGAACTGCATGGATCCACGGACCTAAAGTCCGTGATGGCTCTAACACCTCAAAAACTTTAAAATGTTTACAGTGGAAATCGCTTACTGACAAAAGACACGAAAAAATCTAAGACTGGTGTTCAAAATTGTAAGAAAGGATGTGCCTTATTATGTCTATAGTCTTTTTGACTAACATCGCAACCATGGAACTAGAAAAACGAAAAACTGCTAAATAGGCTTCGAGTTGATTTTGCCCTTAAAGACCATTTCTTTACTCATAATTGTACTGGAATAATTGACAACAAATGCCTCTGTGGTTCTACTGAAGACACAAAGCATTTCAATCTAACCTGCCCTCGCCATACCCATGAACGTAATAAAATGATGACTGCACTTCGTGAACAAAATTTATTGTTTGATACTCGACTTATTTCTAGTAAGACTGAACAGGTCAAATATTTAATTTATGAAAATGAACTCACTATTGATTCTCAGAAAATCCTGATAGATATAGTGATGCAATTTGTACAGGCTTGTTATAAGTTTCCATCAAATCAATGAAATTCTCATTTGTATATTTTGACAATCCCCCCCTTCCCTCCCAACCTCTCACATTACCAATAACCATCTATGATTACTGAAATTCATACTCTATTGTAATTTAAACTACCTAGAATGCCTATGGCGATTGGTAGTAGATATTTTGTGTATTTTTTGATTATGAAGGAAATTAATAATATGTTAAAAAAGATAAGTTCTACACTTTCAGTATCGTTCAGTTAATTTTACCTTGTATCACAAAGCGTATTCCCTGTGGTTGAAGCAGGGAAATAGTCGGCGGTTGTAGCTGTGCTTTGATGGATGCCAAACTTCCAAACACATAAAATATCGCAGTAAATAGCCATAATATCATCATGTGGGCTCGTTATATGAAATCCACAACAGACCTACCTCCGATTCTGAACAACGCCCTTTAATTGCGTTTTATAATAACTACAACACACATGGTATATTCTCAGGGTGTGATTTATTATCAAAAGATTTTAAAACTTAGTAACCCTATATTAGCCAAACCAAACGTGCGATTTTACCAACCACAACTTCAGACACAACAATAATATACGTAGTTACACTTCGCACTAAACTGGGGACAATTAGCGTTTAGCTAAACTAATTGCTCGTCCTCTTCACCTTCAAAAGGCGTAATCCCGGAATAATACTCGAGTGTACAGAGTTTTGAGGTCGTTCTGTAAACATCTCTGCCTGTTTAAGTCTTCACCAAGTTAATGTTTTCTTTTATTATCGCTGTCCTTTTCATCCGCTTCATGGCTCATATTCGATGGTTGAGATGCCTTTCTTGAACTTGTTGAACCAACTTCTTATCATGGGATAGGAACAACAAGTGTCTTCATATGTTGCTCTACATGTTCTTACAGTGTCCTTTAAGCCCTTTCCTTGTTTTACACAGATTTTAATGCAAAGTCTCTGCTCTTTGATAAGTCCATTCACCATTTTGCTCCACTGTTTGGAAACAGCTACTCCACCCAAATTTTAGTGAGTGAGTTTGTTTTGACGGAGGATCATGACATCACACTGACATTCACCTGTAGAACACTATTACACCACTAGCTTTTTGCTATGGCAACACATTTTAAACAAATAACGGTCTTTTTCGGAAAACACATTAAGTTTTTTTCATTGAATGCATGTTTCATGCATTAAATTTTTAAGGTGCTCCACAGAACCAAGTCCTGCTGTTGCTATGGCAACCAAAAGTTCACTTCCTAATAAGGAATTATATTTATATTGATGTAAACTCAAGATATATGTATATGAAACATATTCTGAAAGTTTCATAAATAAATCTGTAAAAAAAATTAGAGCAAAAAGAAACGAACTTTTCAAATGCTCCTCGTACATGCAAGGCTGTCCGGTTAAATTCCGATTTCCAATAATTGCATTCCAGAATCAGAATCAGAATCATGCTCAAAACATCAAAACCTGTGCTGCATACGAATCATAAAAACCTGTTGCATTGTGAAGGCTACTTCGTGCGACAGCAGAGGAACATTGTATTAATTTTTAAAAGTTTGTTTTCGTTATTAATCAAATTATGATTGCATTCCATATGCCTAAAACCTAAAAAGTAATTTGTTTAGTAAAACGGAATTATTTTGAGGATATTGCTCGTATTATTGCTTTAAGTGTGTTCTGATCTCACTGGATGAATTATTCTAATTTCTGAGCATTGCCACGTCATAGACTAACTTAAATTTATTCGATCTCCCATCTTCAATTTTAAAGACTGTGATCGTGATCCTGTTATGGGGAGAACAGGTAAGAATAATGCATTTACTCGTCCGCGGCACGAAACTGGGGACAACTAGCGTAACATTATGGCGTCAAAATACAAAAGAAAACAATGAGAAGTATATATGGCGCAAATAGTCTTATAAACCTAAAAAATGACGAGCGTCAATTTTTTTTCTAGTTCGATCAACCTAAAAATAAAATACTTTACTCTTATTCAATCAGGGTAAAATTCACAGAATAACAAGATCTCGAGGACAGTATTTCTAAAATGTTTTTGTATTTTGAAAATCGGTATAGAAATTTGTTTGAAGCGTTGGTAAAAATTGATATGCAAGGAATTTGAGGCAAAAGTAATTGCGTCACATTTTATCAAGTCTCGTTAATTAGCTTTTATTCTAAATTTACTTATTAAATCTATGGACCGGTCATTATTTTGGAAATTGTTACATTACGTGTAAGTAATTGACCACCATTTTGATTAATTTTAGGCTTTGCAAAACTGCCAACAAAGGCTCTTTTGTTTGTCAACATGGTGATACTGATGAATATACTAATCCACGTCAATATTAATACAAAGAAGGACATCATTTTACTTAAAAATGAAAAATCTGAAACCACACAAAATGAAGACGACAAAGATAAGGGATGTTGGAATTTGAAACTGAGAGAAGAAATGGGGAATAATTTGTACAATTGTAAAAAGGGCCAAGAGCCAATCAACAGAGGGGCTTTAATGGATACACTGGATGAATTCAGACAAGTGTACGACACGAGACCCTTTAACAATAAGCATGGCACGGCAATTATGCACCAGTTTGCACTATGGTCGTTAATACGACATCTAGACCCTTTGTTCATCATAGAAAGCGGTGTCAATACTGGCCTTGGAACCTGGCTTTTACGACAAGCCGCCCCAAAAGCGAAACTCATTATGCTCGACCCCCAGGATCTCTTGAAATTTCGAGATGCCGAGGATGATAGTGTGTATTTTATCGGTCGCGAATTTAAAGATTTCGCCAGCATCAACTGGGAAACCCTCATAGATGACAAGGAACGTACACTTGTATTCATTGACGATCATCAATCACATTTTAAAAGAATTATACAAGCTCTCGATTTGGGATTCAAACATTTAATTTTTGACGATAATCCATACATAGGAGGGGATTTGTATTCAGTTAGACAGGCGTGTGATGCAAGACGCTGTATTGAAGACAGTCTTGGAATATCGGAAGGATTTTCCATTAATTTGAAAGATGATTTCGGAAGAAGCATGGAAACCGTAAGTGAAGAGAAGGCTCTAGAAATGGCTGAGTTCTTATTTGATCAAATAGACGTTTATTTCGAGTTTCCGCCCATATGGGTAGCAAATGTTGATTATCATTTCAAAAGGTACTACAGCGTTTTGAATATCACGAGATCTTCATGGGGCCAGATAAATCCAGCGCCTTTACTGGAAGGAAGGGATGCAGATGATTTCAAGGAAAGATTCCAATACAAACTCACGCGCTTTGACGATTCATATGAAAACATATGTTATGTGAAACTCAAACATAAGGGATGAACGAACTATTAACAATATTGTATAATAACTAGAAATGCTCTTTCTATCTGAATTTACCTTTGAATTGATCTTTTAAATTAAAGTGAAATCCCCGGCGAAATCATATCGTTGAGTTGGTATTTCAACAGCGAACAAAAAGCTAGGTTGCTGAATTGTTCTTTAACTGTTTTAATTGTATGACAATGAATCAAATCCTCCATCCAATTTAATTTTTGTATTTGGCAAAATTACCCGGTCATAGGCAAACACCAAACTAAAAGGTTTAATAAGTTCGTATTTGCTAAATCAACATTGAAATAAGGTAACAAAATACATATTTCTATGTATTAGATCTATTTACTAATATAGGATTGGTCAATCGACCCTTTTCCATATTTTAACAGATTTTATTTGCAAAGCGGCATCTTCGCCCTTCCACGTTGCGTACCAATCATTCTTTTTCTTCCAAAAGTCACCGGGGGCAAATCTGGACTTATTTTCCCATGGCTTTCGGCTATTTGGTACCCCATCGGGAAAATAATTATTCCCGCCAACAGCTACATTTAAGATTAAGTAAAACTGGAATAAAAAGACAAATTCTTACAATTCAATTATACAAATCTCTTGAATGGCTTGCTTCATTCATTTGAGCGAAAATCAACATATTTTTTCTCTATTAGTTCGTGCAGTATGTGACTAATACTGAAAGTGCTATTTTAGAAAATTAAATTAAGAAACATTGACATGTATGTAGACAATCGGGAAATAATATTGATTTAAAATGTCACTTGTGGCTCTAAGATGTGAGAAATTGCAAGTTTTGGGAATGATTTCGGGAAACCTGCATTTGGAAAATGCAATAGCACTGGGGATCACGATAGCGTAGATCTGTTTCAGCATGGACGGCATCCAGGTAGAATTTTTGTTTTAACGATTTATCACTTTCATCCATCAGATTTCAACTGAATATTTGGCACGTATGTAGAGCGTAGATTCTGGTTTTGAAATATGATTACAGAAATACATACAGTAGTTGTTTAGACAATTACAAATCAATTCTATTACTTCGAATTCCTCGAAGACGGTTTCTCAGACAAACAAAGACAGTTTCTGACCATGAAACAAAGACAGCATGTTTCAATAATATCTGAATGAACGAATTAGTAAAGTGGTCACGCAGAGGTCACAAAGCGAGTTCAGCTCCTCAACATATCTACAATGTGCTTTCAAATGCAAATGTGACCCTCCATTGTGATATTAGAACGACCGTCACGCTGATATATACAATAAAAAGAGTGTCTTCGTTGCAATGGCCAAATATTAAGTTGAATGAAGAATAAAGGTAATGAAATAAAATCAAGAAAGCAAAAATTCTCTTAAGCTTAAATTGTTATACAGGACATCCGGTCATGCTAAAACGAAGACATATGAAATGGTCGTATGTAAAGTGGTCGCGAAGAGTGAATACACCATGCCTTCGTTTCTAGTTGACCCCCAGACCCCAGTGTTTCCAGTTAATCCTCAGTGAATAGGTTTTCACGTTTCACCCATTACATAGGTTTGAATTGCACATCAGCTGGTACAGTTCGTTCAGTATAAGTTCATCGGGAAAGCACATAACACTAACACTGGTACTGAACTTGATTACGCTGGGTCCGTTTCGGTAACAAGATGGAAAATTCTGGAAGATTTTTTCCAGGTTTAAGCATCATATGTTTCTGCGAATCCAAGTGATTTTGCATGAAATAATTTGTAGGATGACAGAATCGTACATATAATCCCTCACTTTTGTTGTTTGTAAAATGGTTAAGATCTGTACTCTTAACGTGTTCCGTTTACGTAACAACAGTGAGGTACTAAATCGATTCTGTTGTCTTCTGAACTATTTGTTCGCAAATGTGTATAGATTTTCTTAAACGTTTGACACTGACACACGTGTGATAAAAATGTCGTAGGAATTCTGCATACAACTAGTGAGGTAAAGAAAAAAAGAAAAATCGTAACTTCGAGGTTTCGACATTCTGTTACCGCGTTTCGGTAACTAGTTTGAAAAGTGCAGTACCAGTGACGAAAGAGAACATAACATGACTGATTGAGCTTTATTTACCTCTTTATCGAATGGAGCGTCATTGGCACTGTTTTCCCATGGATTGAAGGGCAAGTAGCCATATCTGTAGTAACCATTCTTGGGGGTAGAAGCATTCAGTACAACTTCACCGTCGTAATAAACCCTGATGCCCAATGCGTCCCAATCAAGTGTATATTTCACAAACTTTTCACCAAAGCTTAGTCCCTGGAGTTTCCTGGAATAGTCATGATGCATTATTTGCGAAATGTGGACGTACATGGTGACCCACAAAAATATAACCGCGCAAATTGTAATTATTTCTCCAATTATGCAATTCAGTTGATGCCTTTTTTTAATTCAACATTAATTAATTAATTACATTAATTCACAAGTGTCTCCTAGATTCAGAGCATTGACAGCCCAAAAACATTGTGTTAGATTCAGCCTAATAAGACCCAAGGAGAACTCAGGTTGCAAAGGCATGGCATGTGGCATATTCAAGCATTACAATATTATTATATAAATCTATAAAATATACATATAAAAGACGATGGGCCGACTCATCCAGTGGGACCAAGATCGCATTCTCAAGATCACACTGTGTCTGTAAAAGAAAAAATTTGATCGGGCGAACAAAACGCTGATGTCCCCTTGGTTGGAATATGAATCTGGAAGATATATATTTTTCAAAAGTAGGCCCATTTTCAAGTGTGTCTGTTTTTGTCACAATTTTGATTGTGTACCTGGAAAAATGTTGATTGTATAGATATTGATTCAACGTTTGGGAAGTTCGGTTTTGGGGTCACATTGTACTTGAATGATATGCGTAACCCCCTGTGACTGGTTATCATCACATGTTATATACTGGACATGTACTTTACTATAAGTTGTGATAAATCATTTAATAGATAAACCCCCACAAGAACAATCCCTTCCAAAGGTATGGCACGACCAAATCCCGGAACCAAATCTCTATTGAACATTAATGTTCATTCCTTTGGTTTATTGCATTAACATTTATAAGTGGTAACGTACAACACAAAAATGTTAAACGCGTAGCAGGCCCGTAGCCAAGGGGGTGCTGGGGGAGCGGAAGCTAGAAATCTTTCAAAATCATGCAGTTTTTCGTCATTCTGAGCACTTCTCGCATGAATTTTCACCCCAAAATGTCAAAAAGCCTCCCCCTGGCAAAAGCCACCCCCCCCTCTTGGTAAAAGCTAGTTACGGGCAAGACTTGTCTTTATTTTAGCTAAAATTTTCTCATGTAAAATGGCACAGTGATTACTACTGGGGACATCTATCGTTGGATACGAATACTTACTTGTGGCCATGTGTCATCCTCATTCGATCTGAATGATAATCTGTACCCCAATGAAGAGTAGACCCAACTGTATGAACACCTATACCACCATAGTCTACATTGCCTAAATCAAATGCACTTCATTTTACACAAATTATACAAGGTAAACACCAAATATAAGTGTGTCTGTCAATTCAAGGTTATAGAAAAAGAAAACAGTGGGTTTTAGGGAGAATATCTTTTACACAAGATCCAATGTACGTTTGTCACTTATGTCAATTATTGTCACTTTATGATCCTTGGTTAAGCAAAATCAACTGATGGTTTGCATTTGTTGCCTATCATATAGGATCTCAAAAAATATATTTCATGTTATCCTCTTTCCTCTTTTCCATGGCCGATTGAGTGTTTTGTTCAATATTGTATTCAATTTTGAACAAAATACTCAATCGCCCGGGCGCCGTATTAAAAATCGGAGCAAATGTGACCAAGGTATAATCACCCTATGCAGACAGAGCCTGTGGGAAATATTGGGTGCGGCGCAAATGAGCGGAGGGTGCGGAGCTAACGGTCATTTTCTAATTTAAAATTTGGATATTTCTGAAACTAAGCCGTTTTGGGACTTCAAATATACCAAGATATGTGTATTTGACACCAAATATCAATAAAATTGTGAAAATAGTAGTGCAATTCATTTTATAGCGACGCAGTATGCCTTAAACATTTCCCAGACCTATATATTTTGAGACTATCCTTTTAATACTGCATCCCCAGCATTCATAAAAAATGGTGTTCAAGATACACTACCCATGCAAATTATTTTTGCATCTTGGAAGCCAGGCAGTATCTGTGTGATTTTATAAAAATTCGGAAATGTTTTTCAGATATGAGCCCCCTCTAAATATTGGGTGCGGAGGAGCTCCATAAACGTACCTCCGCACCCAATATTTAGAGGGGGCTCATATCTGAAGAACATTTCCGAATGGCTTCCAAGATGCAAAAATAATTTGTATAGATAGTGTAACTTGAACACCATTTTTTATGAATGCTGGGGACTCAGTATTAAAAGGATAATTTCAAAATATATAGGTCTGGGGAAGGTTTAAGGCACACTGCGTCGCTATAGAATGAATTGCGCTACTATTTTCACAATTGTATTGATATTTGGTGTCAAATACACATATCTTGGTATATTTGAAGTCCCAAAACGACTTAGTTTCAGAAATATCCCAAATTTAAATTCAAAAATGACCGTTAGCTCCGCACCCTCCGCTCATTTGCTCCGCACCCAATATTTCCCACAGGCTCTGTCTGCATAGGGTGATAATATAAATATGATAATTTGTTCAGATATAGAATAATTCATTTTAGATGATTAAATTTTGATTTGACTGGCTATGCTGTCATGTAAAGTGTTTTTTTTAGATTTTTAAGCTATCCTTTGATGTAATCTCAATCAAATTTTTATTTCGTGTGTGAAAATTATTTCAGGTGTGCTTAGTCAATTTTGGCGATTTTATCATCCCCATTTTGCTAAAGGTCACTTGTTCTTAGACTGATATAGAATGTCTACCTCGACTCTCACAAATGTCGATTTCTCCAGAACGAGGCCAGTGGCCATATTCGTTTTTTTGAGGCATCATCCAGATGGCGGGCCAGATCCAATCGCCTCGTGGCATCTTCGCAACAACCTAATAGGAGGATACTTTAAATACTATAAAGCATATCAGTGTTGAAATGGATTTCTCCGAGGGTACCCCATAAATGTAGGGTCGAATTGGCGTTTTTTCTTATATTCTAAAAATAAGAAAAAACGCCAATTCGACCCCACATTTATGGGGGTATCCGAGGGGAGCCAGCGTTCCATTCCCCTCCTAAAATAAGTAAAAAGTTCAAAACTCTGTCTCAAAAAATAATTATACATGTGTGTCTCTATTCATAAAATTAAAAATTGAACATTTTCACTAGTACAAGATGCATGTCCCCATGCAAAAGTTGATTCAGGGTTGGTAACTGGGTTACGCAAATGAGGTAAAATAGAGAGGACCAATGGCAGTACGTACCTCAATTCGTCCATATCTGAAGGACAGCTTTGTCCTTATCTTCCCTGACATAATAGGGCTGACAATGTTTCTCCCGTCTCCCTGTTTGAGACAACCGTTGGAATAGTTGGATGTACATCTTCCCCAAATGCCTGTAGAAGCAAAAGATCTCACATTCTTTAATGCTACCATTTGTTTGTTTATTAGTTTGTTTTTTATGACGGGCCTCTGGTTCATAAGCATCAGCGAATGATTAGAAATGGAACTTCTAATGTACATATTACTGATTTTAGAATAGATAGCGAATGAGAAAACACAAAGGGCAACGTTTGAACAACTATTAATGCAAACTATTTTAAAATTCATATCATATTCTATGGATGGTAACTTACTGGCTACATCCATTGTCCCGTATTTTACAAAGTCCTCATCAAATCTGTCAGATGTCAATGTCTAAAAATCACAATTTACATTATCAATGGCATTGATGCAAAATGCACCGTGGTTGAACTCGGTAACAAAAAGGCCCAGCCTCAGATGTACAATTTTTCTTCATGATTTTACAAGTTGGAGGCATATTCTTCACGACAATTAGCTTAAGGCCAATCCTTGCATTTTCTTGCACTAAGCCTAATTAAGCCATATTTTGCGATTCAACCCCTCCCAGCTCAATATATATAGTAAATATATATATACTCACAGGCTTTATAAACAATGTTTTGTCCCTCACATAGACGTTCCCTTGCTCAGGGGTGTAAACTTGGAATTCCCGGTTCTGAAATTTAAAAAACGTGTCACCTGTTTATGTCCAAATTTTAATTCAATTTCAAATACTATGATCCCATAAATATATTTCAGCGTTGCCAAAATTATCACAAATCCGATTACAAACTAAGAAATACCGTATGTTTGCCAGGCATAGGTATTCGTTAAAATATTAGAATTAACCTTAATTTACGGATAGGTCGTGAAATATGTTTACATCTCTGCAGAAAAAACAGAGATGACTGGAGCGGGATTCGAACCTCTGACCCCATAAACATGTCAATTACACCTAACCTACCCCTCCTCCATTCGCTGTTACTTCATGTTGCCATGTGTTCAGATCGAAAGTAGAGAACTTTTCATCCAGCATAAGTCGAAGATTATCGTCACACGGACTTTGGTTCTGTTGCACAGGACGACCTATTACACAAATATGGTATAAACATTGAAAATGTATGAACTTATTGAACCATGCATGTAGTGATGTGCAATCTCCCATGTGGTTAGATTCATCCTTTGAAGCAAGTGTCCAGATATTCTGGATGGTTGAGCCCTGCGATCGGAGAATGGGTGAGATCTGGTTATAATATTTGTATCAGTGCAGGCCCGTAGCCAGCTTTTGTCAAGTGAGGGGGGATTTTTTAATCTAAGGGGAGGGGCACACTCTCATTAAAATGACTTACCATCACCAGGAATTATGTATCTCTGTTCGAGTAATCGATAGGCCAGGTCATCGACTAAAGCATTCAACCAGTAGTACACGATATCCCCGGGGTTTAGCAACACGTTGCGATTCTCATGCACCCAAACATCGCCTGCAAAATATGATAAAACTTAACAATCTTATTTTGAAGACATTAGTAAAATTGTCAATACTGAAATTGCCAGGATGAATAACGAAAGCCTCCTATCGCTATTTGAGATTTAGTACGACTTATGTGACACAGAATATTTTATAGATACTGCAATAATGTGTTGATAAGCGCTTTTCATACCAGTCTTTGCCCTGACATCATAATTCCATCTACCAGCGTCGACATCCAGAAGGGGCGTGTTAATGCTGTAGTGGAATTCTATTAAAGATGTTCCCGGTGCGGGATCTGAAAGATGAATTTAACTCATAAAACACCTGAAGTCATGTGCGTTGAGCCAGATATATCAATAGAAAAAGAAAAGATAAAATATAAGACCAGTAGAAGATGCGGATAAAGGTAATGATTGGATTCATAACTACGACGATTAATATATGAACGACCGAATCCCATCTTGATCAAATCCCTTGTATTTAATGTCAATAAAAAGCAACAGACAACAGACGTTATGTTATCGTCATAGAGAAGCAGTAAAGGGAAAATCTAGAAAGAGCGAGCTTAACAAAAATTGTTTCAATTTTAGAATATTTTTGGCTCAAATCATTCCTTAGTCATGACTTTTTTCAAAAAATCCCCAAAGTGCATTATTTCAGGAAATCTAAAGATATTTACTTTGAGTCTTTTTCTATGAATATGGTTACCATTTTTATTAGTTGGGAGAATTAAATAATTTCCCCAATTTTTGCACTTTTATTTGTTATTAATAATTTCATGCTCATCTCTGACATATCACAGATTTTATGGGAGATATTGTATTTGAACTCATAAGGAATACATTGGGAGGTCAATTGTACATGTGTTTCTGGCAATTTTGCCATCCCCTATAGATCTGCTGATCTGATTATAAACTTCATATACATTAATTATTAAGATACTGGTATTTATATGTAATATACAGCTGTATGTATAAAAATGGGGGAGTCAGATAATTCACATTTATGAACTGCTACCGGTGTCCAATTTTAGCATTCAATTCTCGGCAACAAACAATATTCATCAATTTATTTCTTATAGATATATTGTCAATAGATTTATTGGTTTTTCACCTGCTAGTTTTGTTTTTCAAAATACGCATTTGATCTGCATTTTCGTTCACGATCGGCTCCCGTTGGTCGAACGCCATAGAGACCGAGCGTACAGAGATAGACGTGGAACTTTTCTGGATTGCCCAAGTGTTCAGACTCTTCTCCAACTATTTTGACACAGCTCAAGTATTTCAAGTTCACTTATTTTATCAGAAATTTACAAGGGATGGTATCCCAAAAAATATTTACTTGGAAAAATAGTGACCCAAAAATATTTTCTCACTACATACCTAAATTTGAAACAATTATCCTTTAACATACTTTATTTATTTCATAGAATAGTTTTAATATGCAACTGTCTTAATATTATAGACGCAAATAAATAATGCATATAGGGTAGTCCAGAACACTTGGAGCTTCATAGATGTTTCACTGGCGGATCTGCCCCCCCCCCCTTGCGTGGGCCCAGAAAAAAATTTGGACCCGAAAAATTTTTTGGCCAAAAACGCTTTTAGGCTCCAAAAGTGGATCTTTTTGGTCATTACTGGGCCTTTCAAGGCCCTATTTTTTAATTTCAGGTCAAGTTTTGAAGAAAATGGGCCTCAAAATTTCAAAATTTGGGCCCACTTTTGGGTTTTAGGGTTTTAGTAAAAACCATGAAATGAATCTCAAGAATTATGCAACAAGCCATTTACACTTTTCAGAGTGTCTCTGCACTATCAACGTTGTGGAAAACATTAGTGATGATAAATAACTTGGTTTTGTCTTGTATGTGATTGTCGCTTTAAATACTAGGTTTGATTGGCTATTGTTAATAAAGCCGTTTGTAATAAAAGATTCGAAAATCTCCATTTTTCACAAACATCATGCTTATCATTTGCCAAAGTACATATATTTACATGATTATTTGAAAAACGAAAACCCTTCGATCTGTCTCTTGATAACAAAAATACCCAATCGGAATTTGAACTGAACTGGAATACTCTTATCCTATATAATATACAGTATGTATATATACATGTACATAAGGCGAAAGGATGAAAAATGTTAAATCTCTTAGTAACCTTAATTCATAGTTTGTATCTCTGTACTGTATGTGTACGATTATTATATACCCGTAGGATTTAAATATAAATGGAATAAATTGGTTGAAATACAAAAATAAACTTTAAAGTCATAAAGTATCGCTAACTTGTAAAGTGTACGAGTTAAGCTTGGGAAATACAGAAAGCCACGAGATGAATTGAAAAATCGTTCCCCTCGTATTTTGTTGTGATCTAATTGTAATTCAAACATGTATTTACTAAACATCCACATTCGCACAGACCTACCTTCAACGAGAAAACGTACTCCTTTTGGTTCCAGCAATGTAATTAATGCAGGTAGGACTTGAACTCGAGACTCGGTAATCCTCGCGCATCCTACTAGTACGTGTATTATAAGTATTTGAAGTATAAATACAATTGAAAACATTTGGCTGTTTTCGATCGGTAACGTTCCGTTGTGTTTTCTCCTTACTTTTAGGCAGATGTTTCATTCTGTTCATTGATAGCCAAATCAAATATTTCCTTATGAATACGAATGTACATTTTCATTTAATTCCCTGGTCCTGATTGCCAATATATTTAGTATTTGTAACCTCATAACCGTGATTAACCACCATGATATCACCACAGTTAATGGTGATCCATTGGATTACGCTTTCGGTAACAAAATGTCGGAACCTTGAAGGTACGATTTTTCTTTTTTCCTTATTTCACGCGTTGTGGGCAGAATTCTCACGACATTTTCACCACAAACGTGTGTCAGTATCATATGTGGCCGAATACATACGAAAAATATCCTAAAATAAACATTAAAATTGAAAAATCTACTTTTGTTCGATATTTGGTCGAACACAATCGTCAATTCCATACAAACTGATTCATAGCCTTTTTAACCTTAGTGCTATAATGGGTTTGCATGTGAATAAATTAATTCACATAAATTGTAACCTAAGGAAAATATTCTATGGGGAACAAAAATAAATATAACGAATTATTGATATATAAGTGTTGCAAAAAGATTTAGACTTTCATCATTTACAGTTCCAATCTGTAGGTAACATTATTACTTGGATAAGACCGGGCCAGAAGTTATATGATATTAATGACTATATGATGATTTCAAACACTTGTATATTTAATTATGTTTCTAGGCATGTATTTTTTATATGGCCGTTACGTCTACATACGACAGTACGATACAGATTGCTATATCAGAGACATAAAACAAGGTGATAATCATTCAATAAACGCATTTAGTCCACAATATTTCCTGGGTTTCTTGAAGTTCTCGAAAAAGTATACTAAAAATACACCATTTCCTTCGGACCTGTAGCGACCGGGGGTTCGAGGCGAAAAAGTGATCTTCATTATTTCCACTGGAGATTGTTGCATGGATATCGATCTAAAGTTATACACCTAATGTTTCTAATTAATGATAGATCATCATCTTTCGTGAGAATAAGGGGAAATGTTTAAAAGAAACAGAAATTTAAGTGTGCAGAAAACCTGCAGAAGCTTTCTTTGTGAAATGTCGAAAAAATTTAATCCTGAAGATTTCCTTCATTTGTTATTGTCTATTTTGAGATAATATTAGTTCAGTATATGATGTAGAAGGCATCGAATGATAGATACATGTATTTATCCAGTTAACGAGAGAATACACATCGTCGCTTTCCAGTTCGCTTTCAAGTGTAGATATAATCGTTTTGCAAAATATCCGCAAACCACCGTCGAATATCACTTCTAAAAAATATTTGATAAAATATTTTTCGCAATTTTGTTTTTCAAAATATTTTTTTCAAAAGTCAACAGTATACCAGTATATTTCACTTGAGGTATTACACCCTGGACGAAGTGATAAGGTCAAAACAAGTGGCTCTGATTTAGGAAAAAACGATCTTCCTAAAAATTAATAATTTTTGTACCCCAATTTTTGTAAGGTTAAATTCTTGTGGACAAAGAGGAGAATCATATACAATTTTGTATTATGTTCAAGTGGTACATCTTAAACTACTCAGTTCGTGTGTTTTAAATTGAATGGAACGCGCATTAGTGGCTGGAGTGTAAATTAAAGTTGAGAATAATATCTCCCGCTAAAAATTACGATTTTATATTGTCAAAATTTCTTTCATTGATGATCAATGATGCATATAAACGTTCATGCACACCGAGATTGTATGTTTCTTTTCATATGTGCATTTACAGCATCGACAGTTATTTTAATTTGATGTGATGCCTATTGTTTTACTCCCGACGACGAACATTTGAGGAAAATAAGCGGTTATTGATTTGCGATGGTGATTTGTGATAAAACGCGGCTTTCTATACCTGATTTAGTTTCATTAATTTAACGTTTTCCAGTCATGTCTTATGACAATCGCCGTTATGAAGCGTCGAAAATCTCTTTATATTACATCAAGTCATGTGGAAGTGGCCTTTGGATGAAATAAGAGTCTAAGATACATGCAGCTTGTTAGACGTACGATGCCCGTTGTCAACGCAAAGTCCAAAGATCTGGATGTCAAAACAACCCCTTTATTTACACTGCCATTGCACATGAATGGGAATTATGTTTATGTCCACTATTTTAGTAAATCGTCTTGGACATTTACTATAGAACAAATCATTTGCCTTACTGTATCTTTTGTTTAGCCTGAGAAGCTGAGTTATTCTTAACCAGATTGAAAAAATTAAGTATTGTGCGTATAGATCCATCGTCGGCAAGTCGTTGAATGACATCAGGTAACACACTGGTGAACTCATTTATTAGATCTTCAATATTTTCATCTAGCATCTGTATCGTTGCATTGCCATCTGTGGAACTGTGTGCTTCATTGCTGTGACAAGATTTCAAATGTATTACGGAGTGGCTCCAGGACCGACAATTGTCGGTACTGGAGACTGTCCAGGGGTATTTGCTAGGGTACCGACAATTGTCGGCACTCTATCGTCACCTAGTAGTGCCAGATAGAGAACCGACAATTGTCGGTACGCAAGTGGCTACTACGTGTTTTTGCTAGAGAGCCGACAATTTCATAAATAAATCGACTACTTTTACTTTTAGAAATAACCTCATCACTGGTAGCCTCCGAACTCCCGATCAGTGATATATCACTGCGGCGGGCAGGTATCTCACCGTAAGCATGGTAACATCGTAATAAACAACTGACGTGATTGGTTCTAGTCCCATGCTCAGGTCGCGTGATTGTAAAATTTAGACAATTTCATTGGTTGAATTGCGCGTATTAACTAATAAACAACACGTGCGGTAAATTTTATCAACACAACTTTTACTCAGAATTTCTTCCGCGGGGATTTCCTCTTATATTTCATTGATTTTGGAATATTTTGACAAAATAATTATTGGTGAACATAAAAGAACATATATTTTATAAGTTGTGTGAAAAACAAGTACATCTGTGACAAAAAGCGGGACTATCTTCCCCAAATTTTTGGGATTCCATAATCTGCCCGCTGCAGTGTCTATACCGAGACACTGCATAGGAGTTCGTGGTAGCCTCGTGGTTAGCGAGCACGACTCGAACACACTCGGTCCCGAGTTCGAATCCCGGCAGGACCTGCTTTTTTCTTTTGAGGGGGGGGGGGCATAGTGCTTCTTTTGCAGTATGGAATCGCACAGGCATTAACTTGTATTGAGCCATAATTTATTTCGACAAATTTGATTCAACTTCCATCAAAATTGTCCTACAAGCTTCAATTAAAAAACATTTTAAAGCTCTTTTCTTGTTCTATCTAATGGGTCGATATATACAGTTAGGGGAGGGGATGCTTTCGCCCCCGTCGCTCTCTACCCTCACTACGCCATGGCACAGGAGAAATATCTCATTTGGAATATATCATTGTTTACTTTGCGTTTGGTAGCTCTCTCATGCGAGATGGAATCGTGGCCATTAACTAAGGGAGCCAAATGCAACTTCCATCAAAAATTGTGCTATAAGGTATGAGTACCGTAATCCAACACCAAATTCGAAAATTCATAACAATACTTTGCACATATGGCGTTCGTGACCAACTATGAAACGCTTACCCCCCCCCCATAGTGTTATATATCAAAATGCACCTGTCCATATAGGGGTTCGATTGACCTACATCAAATTATAGGGAGTCAGGTTACTTTTTGAGATATCAGCGTCCGTTTATTGTAACTCGCGTTTGCTACCACTTCCTCAATTCTGATATGACGGGCAAACGCGTAGTAAACATGCTCACGTTCGGAACTATTTTGACCTACATCGCTATTTTCGTAATTCAAATGAAAGTTGAACTCTTCTTTATTTTGATACCAAATAGTGGCATACTAGGTACCCTAGAAGACAACTATGGGTTATTTAGAACGATACCACTGGTTTTTAAATGGACTATATAGGGGTCATACCTTTTGGCGGATGGATATGGAATCTCATACCATAAGCTTCAAATAAAAAACATTCTAGCTATTTTCTTCTATCTAATGGGTAGCAAACGCCCGTTTCTACGCCTGATCGGCTCAGGAGTAATATCCTGTCTGTTTAGAATATGTATAGCCGTTTACTCTGCATTAATAGCTTTCTAACGTCTTACTTGTTCATGTTTTTTATATTGGGTTTTCAACGTTTACTACCATTCCCTGTTCCCGGGCTACCATTTTTTGACTGGGTTTGGTAATGCCCTCCCCGGGTTTTGCACTTGTTCCCAAAATATCCGTATGATATCTGAAATATCCCCCCGCGCATTGCGCATGCGCCAGAAAATTCGAAAATCAATATTTGTCGGTCCTCTAGCGTGTAAACACAGCATATCTCCCGTACCGACAATTTATTTGTCGGTCCTCTAGCGTGCCACCACCTCAGAGTCTAGAGTACCGACAATTGTCGGTACTCTAGCCTTTACGAATTTATTATATCATTCATTTCATTGGTGGATTCATTTTCAATTTTATTTTCAATTTCATTTTCTTTTTCAATGTTATTATCCATTGTTGTACGACCTTTCATTTCATTGTTACTGTCAATATCTAATTTTGAGCATTTAGATACATGGGGAACATCACTGTCCAAGTACTGGGCTATTGATATTGTCATGGAGTCCTGATCCTGAATCACTATTTTTTTGCCACTGGCTTCGATCTCACTGGGAATCACATCTGAGAATTTTTTTGTTATCAATTTAATCGTTCCATTCACATTAATAATTTTTCTGATTTTCATTTCATTTTCAGGATGTTTTAAAATCAAGTGTTGTATTATTGCATTAAATTGTTTTGTTTTCCCGTCACAATGGTAGCATTGGAAGCCTACACACCTGAAAGTAAACAAGTGATTAATTAGACATCCATTCCACGTATTTTCCATATATTCTGTGGGAATCAGAGCCGCGTTTTTTCCAGAAAATAAATCTAATCTCGTCTCAGGGACGTAAATTACTTCTTGTATTAGAAAAATAATGGTGATATGACATTCCCTGGTTCATAAACTATCATATCGCCAAATATCAATGCATTTGAAACAGAGTATCTACCATTTTTTCGAAAATAATCAAAAAAAATATTGCGGTTATTTACAAAAATATATTATTTCAATTCGTATTCACTTCGTTTCTTAGTATTAATCGTTACAATATTATATATAGAGAGGTGGATATGTCTTGGATCAATGTACCGAGTTTGAACATGTCAGGTGGTCAAGAAAGGGTATAATTTAAAGAAATAAACTCACCCCTGCTCTGCCATGTTTATTTTTAGGAAGATCGTTTTTTCCTAAATCAGAGCCACTTGTTTTGACCTTATCACTTCGTCCAGGGTGTATTAACAATAAATATTTCTGATCTGTCGAGCTTTATATATCAAGTTTTTACCAATGTCATTGAAAGATGGCAAGGTTGTTTGCATTACATGATACATTCATTTTTATAGAAGTGTCGCCATCTTTTAAATCAACAGTAATTTAAAACACGCACTTTGTTTAACATGTGCATGCATGTCTAATGATCTCTGAACATCAAATGCTTTTTCCCATGGACAGAAATATAGTCATTGTATAGGCTAGTTCGTTCGAAAATGGCTATATGTACCCCAGAACTTGAATTTTGTGATTTTTTCAATATTTTTCAATGATTTACAGGAGTGACACCTCAAGGAGGATTGGCTCCCAGAATCGAAGTCGATATTTTCCAACAATGAAAACGCCGAAATGTCGTTATTTTCTGAAATTATAACCGATTATAAATTCAAAATAAACAGTTCAAAAGATTCGAACCAAAATCTTGATCATTTCCTGTGAGTTTTGGCATTTTTCGTTAGGAAATAAGACCAAAATTCACGATTCAAATGTTGAAGTGAACAAAATGGCGGTCGTTGGGATTCAAATTTTGTAGCACGACATGCCCATATATGGGACAGAATATCGATGTTGCACTCTGGGAGCCAATCCTCCTTGTGACACCCAAGGAGGATTGGAAGCCAGGGTTCCAACTCGATATTCTTTAATCTCCACGCATGCGTCATTTGCTATTCGTGTCTGTATAATTTGTACGACTGCATGGAGAATGACCCGATACTCTCCAACAAAGCTATCGCTAGGTGATTGTTTTGCAGAATATCGGTGTTGCATTCTGGGAGCCAATCCTCCTTGTGTGACACCTGAAGGTGTCACTCCTGTAAATAGCACTTCCGGGTAGGACAGTGTTTTTTAATACTTTAAAAACGAAGCCATGCCAACTTCAATGGTGTGTATAGTAGGTTTAAGTGTATGCAATGTGGCCATTTGAGGTATGTCTGTAAAGCTGAGGCCAAGTACTTTCTAAATGTGCCATTTTAAGAAAAAAATCGCAAGAATATAGTCCCGTAAACTGGAACTACTTTACTCGTTAATTTTCATCGGTGAAGTAGGGATTTTACCTAAAAATGAGTCCCTATGTTGGCGTAGTGATATTTAAAAATCGAGACGCAAACCCTATGTTAAATATAGTGTCAAGATGAAGGTTATGTATAGGGGAACGTAGAAATATAGTCATTGTATGGGCTAGTTCGTTCGAAAATGGCGATATCTACCCCAGGGGCCGTGAATTCGTACGATCCCAAATCCAATCCAGATAAATTTTATCTTCTGGGATAAATCTTGGATTACTAATCCGGATTATGATTTGGTGAATTCGTACGATCCGAGGATTATTAGGGGGAATCCCCAAGATTTATCCAATATGCATTGGAATTCGGATAAAATTTATCCAAAAAGTAATCTACCTCAAGAGATGGATTGAGATTTATCCTGAGATTAATCCGAGGATTGTACGAATTCACTGATTTTTGGATAAATTCTTGGATTAATCCCACAATGCATCATTACCATGACGAAATTTATCCGGATCGGATCGCGGATCGTACGAATTCACCGGCCCAGAACTTGAATTTTGTGATTTTTTTCAATATTTTTCAATGATTTACCGTAGTGACACCTGAAACTTTACCGGAAGTTGAACGTAATCTGGTAGACTAAAATCAGGGGGAAATATTTGTCGGAATTTAGTGTTGATTGTCGATTTTCTATGAAATTACCGATATATCGTCGTCAAATCATGCACAAGGTAATGTATAAACTTATTAAGATCACCTAAGGACATGATTTAATATTGTAGCGTAAATTTATAGGAAATAAACAGGCTCATACAGTGAGGCACATGTTCAAGAAAACATTTTTTTTATTTTGAAAAAATTAGCCTACAGTCGGTTTCATGGTAAAAATAGCAAGAACTTAACTTCGACATATAAGTGTTACCTGATGAATGGGGCCCTCACGTGCCTTCCCAATGGTAGTAAACGAACCCTAGTGTAACTACATCAGCTTATCTTTCCGTCCGATCAACAATAAGTACAGTTATACAAGAAATGTAAACGAAGTGAAAATATTCCCCAAAATTTTCCCAAAGCCATGTCATTTCCGGAAGTTATGATGCGTTATATTACCTAACATGTGTGAAAATTGAACGTTTGTTCGTTCATTTTACGAGAGCTAAATAAAATGTAAACATCCAAGCATCGGGTATGACTCCACCATTGTTTTGCCTACTTGCCACAATCAACCTCACTGCCAGCATATCAAATAAGGCCCATTTTCCATGAAACTTGGCCCAACTACTATCAGGCAGATGTCCTTGAAAAATCAAGTTGACATGGTTACCCAAGCCTAATAGTTGCCATGGCAACCATAGAAATGGGCTAAAAAATGAGAGCAAAAAAGCACCCAAACCCACCATATATAATGGCACTAATTTATAAAATATTTCTAGATATAGAAATTTTCTTAAACTTTGACATCATCTAGAACACTTCTAGACAACAAAAATGTCAAAAATTGGGGGTAGGTTTACCACTTCGATTTTTTTCTAGGCTTGGTCAAAGTAAAACTACGAAAAGGCACTAATTTTTACTTTTGAATCACCTATTATCGCCCAAATGGCTATATTTTTCAAGGTCAAGGTCGCCATGCTAAAAGTTGAATTACGGAGATAAATCTGCTCTTCAGACAATGTTTGATAGCTTTTCTTCACCACGGTGAAGCAGCGATTTTACCTAAAAATGAGTCCCTATGTTGGCGTAGTGATATTTAAAATCGAGACACATCATCATCATCATCAAATTCTGAGCTGATAGGTCTTGAAAAGTCCTGTAGTTGCTCAGATCTTAGTTTAAATGTATGTAATATATATTAAACAATATCATAGTGATAATTTAGCCAAAATTTGTCTAGTCTCCCTTTAAACTGATCTACACTATGGGCCGTCACTACCTTCTCTGGGAGGCTGTTCCAGTCTTCTTTAATTCAGTTGCTAAAGGTGTTCTGTCGAAGGGTGGTGTTACAATGGTGTTTGCACATTTTCAGGGAGTGTCCTCTAGTGGTTGTGGTGGCCTTGGTAAAAAATGAGCTATGCTCTATAGTGTCAATTCCATTAATAATTTATAAACCTGTCTCCTCGTCTACGTCTGTAGTGGAGGGAATGGAGCTTTAGCTCTTTAAGCCTTGTTTGATACGGCTTATTCTTCAAATCTGGTATTATTTTGGTAGCCCTTCTCTGTATCTGTTCTATTTTTCGCTCCTCTCCTAAGAGTCTTGGGTGCCATATTATGTTGCCATAGTCTAATATAGGTCTAATCATAGATTTATAGAGTGGCACTATGATCTCCTTGGTGTGACTAAAACGTCTCTTGATAATTCCTAATTTACTATTTGCCTTTTTTGCAGTTTCACTGGTGTGTTGTTTTAATTTTAGTTCTTTGTCCATGGTGAATCCTAGGTCTTTCTGTTCTATCACTGACTCTATCATGGTACCATATTGGTTGTATTGTTGGTTGACGTTTTTACCACCAAAGTATAAAACTTTACACTTTTTTGATTGAACTTTAATTGCCAATCCTTTGACCAGTTAACTAGAGTGTCAATATCTTGTTGAAGGCTCTCTCGCTGTTCGGCACTAACACATTCCCCATAGAGTTTGGTGTCATCTGCGAAAATTTTGATTGAGTTTCTTATCTTGTCTTGGGCATCATTAATATAGTGTCAAGATGAAGGTTATGTATAGGGGATTGCAGAAATATAGTCATTGTATGGGCTAATTTGTTCGAAAATGGCGATATGTACCCCAGAAAGTGTGAGTACCGTAATCCAGCACCAAATTCGAAAATTCAGAACAATACTTTGCACATATGGCGTTCGTGATCAACTATAAAATGCTTACCCCCTTTGGTGTTATATACCAAAATGTATCTGTTCATATAGGGCTTCGATTGATCTACATCAAATTATAGGGAGTCAAGTTACTTTTTGAGATATCAGCGTCCATTTATTGTAACTCGCGTTTGCCACCATTTCCTCAATTCTGAGATGACGGGCAAACGCGTAGTAAACATGCTCATGCCGGAACTATTTTGACCTACATCGTTATTTTCGTAATTCAAATGAAAGTAGAACTCAACTTCTTTATTTTGATACCAAATAGTGGCATACTAGGTACCCTAGAAGCCAACTATGGCGTTATTTAGAACAAAACCACAAATTTTTAAATGGACTATATAGGGGTCATACCTTTTGGCGGGTGGATATGGAACCTCACACCAGAACTTGAATTTTGTGATTTTTTTCAATGATTTACTGTAGTGACACCATAACGTATCATAACTTCCGGAAATGAATGCCTTTCGGAAAATTTTTGGGAATATTTTCACTTCGTTTACATTTCTTGTATAACTGTACTTATTGTTGATCGGACGGAAAGATAAGCTGATGTAGTTACACTAGGGTTCGTTTACTACCATTGGGAAGGCACGTGAGGGTCCCATTCATCAGGTAACACTTATATGTTGAAGTTAAGTTCTTGCTATTTTTACCATGTAACCGACTTTAGTTTTGTTATTTATTTTGGTGTCTAATCAACTACTAGTACAATTATTTAGGTGTCAGTCACTCACTTCCAAGGAGCCAGCAGCTCTGAATATCCTCATTAATTCCACCTCTTATCCCATGCCAGGACTATAGTCCTGAGAACGTCTCAATCTTTTGCCTGTACGATTACAACATGGGAGAATTTTCTACGCCTCACACTAAGATACCTACTTCAATAGATTCCTGGGTACTTTAACATTCTTCTCGTGTAGTTGAATCCACAATTACCTGGGTATACTATATTGGCAGAACGGGAACATTTTTCTTTTTCATCGAGAGAGATTCCATCACTTTTTCAAAATGGCGGTTGGATTTTAATGGGGATTCCCCATTTGACTGGCCTGAAAGTACCAATAAATGGAGGAATTTGACGGTTGAAATAAGTTAAGGTGCCATGGAAGGTAACAGGAAATGACGAAACAGGAAGTGAAAAAAAATTTGCATTTTTAGACATTTTTTGAACAAAGATAACAGAGTTCTGGTTTGACCTCCAGTAAATTTAACTATTTCCAAATATCATTTACATGACCAGGATCACAATGTGCATGGTCAGAATGACCCTAAACATGATGAAATAAGCTTTTTAGTCCTTTGGAAGTGTGACTGAAAAAAAGCTAAAAGTAGGAGCTAGGGAAGGTCACTGAACAGAATCTTTTGAATTTTTCAGAAAATGTGCCCAATATTATGCTCTAACTGATACAATCTTTGAAATTTTAGAAAATTGTCTAAAACAAAAATGGCGGTCATAAAAAGGAAAATAGATCGCTTTTCAAATCAGTTTTTTCATTTTTTTCTTTTTCTATGAACGATATCAAATTTTCAAAGATTGTATCATTTAGAGCAATATATTGAGCACATTTTCTGAAAAATTCAAAATATTCTGTTCAGTGACCTTTCCTACCTCCTACTTTTAGCTATTTTTCAGTCACATTTTCATTGGGCTGAAAAGGTTATTTCATTATGTTTAGGGTCATTCTGACCATGAACATTGTGATCCTGGACCTGTAAATGGTTAAATATTACACGCAAATATTGCGATCAAAAATGAAAATTTCTTCGTTCTGCCGATAAACCCAGACAATTGTGGATTCAACTACACGAAAAGAATGCTAAAATACCAAGGAATCTATTGAAGTAGGTATCTTAAGTGTAAGAAGCGTAGTAAATTCTCTCATGTTGTAATCGTACAGGCAAAAGATTGAGACGTTCTCAGGACTATAGTCCTGGCACGGGATAACCCACCCCCCATCAATGGCGTAGCATCATATACCCACAAAATGACTACCCCCCAAAAATGTGGGGTTGATTTTTCAAATCCCCCAGGCCCATAGTCAGGAAGGGGGCTTGAGAGGTGAGGGAAACCTGCTCTTCCCCAAATAAACTGGGCAATTTAGACAAAAAACTGGCATTACCCTGGGCATTGTATTTTAATTTTTTTCTTTGTACACACGCATGTATTTTTGTCCCCCTTCCCCTCTGGATTTTCAGGATCACGGGACCGGGCTTCCCCCCTCCCCTCCCCCTAACAAAAAGCTGGCTATGGGCATGTCACCCCCATAACTACTTGTGTACTGAAATATTGGGGTTTTAAAACATTGTCAGTTGTTGACACAAAGCTGAATTTTATCTAAATAACCACAAATCCAACTAATTTTCAACCCAAGATTTCAATACACAAATAGTTGTGGGGGTGATTTGAAAGATCAACCTCACATTAATGGGGGTAAAAACAACATGGCGTACTCTCAAAATTTAGAGAAAATCTGATTTTTTATTTGTATTGAATTATCCCACACTTAAAAAATACTGGTTATTCTGAATATGTGTTGTAAGAATCATTTATGAAAAGCAAAATAAATGTTTTGTTCTTAATCCTGTGTTGTTGGTTTTAAATTGTGTTGTAATAAACTCTAAATTTTCTATCAACTAATTTGTGTAATTTACTGATTCAACACCCGAATCTGTTACACCTGCAAGCTTCTTTATGTTCAAAAGGGTGCAAGTTCTGGGATGTTTGTAGTTTTTTGTAGATCATCATGTAGATCTTAATTTGTCTCACACACTTTCAAAATACTTTGTGTACTGTAAAATTAATGAATACCTCTGAAATAAAACCTGGCCTTGGTCTGATTGTAAACTTCAATTCACCAGTAAAGTAAAATATGTGTGTTATCACATTGCGATGCCTTTAAGTAGTAATCTTGATGTGGGGCATGACTAGAAATGATTTACACTAAATGTCATCTTAAACATTGTCTTTTCATGTTTCAGGTTTAATTAGAAACCTCCAGACATTACCTTTCTACAATAGCTACAATTTCTGAGATGGCTGAGTATACAAGTATATTCGGTGGAGGGGAGCTTAGTCAGCCGATTGGAGCACCAATCTTGTCCCCTAAAAGATCGTCAAAGAAGAAAAGACGTAAACTCTTTGTTGAAACTGGTATGTTTGGTGATGGGGAGCTCAGCCAACCAATGGAAACAGTTGTCTTCTCATCTAATAGCCAGGCAAAGATGCAACATAAATCATCTGAAGATATGGTTTCAGCATCACATAATAGTTGTCAAAACGATTCAGAAAATCTACATCCAAGCTCTGGCCATCAAGAACACGAAGAAAAGACAATGTTCAAATTGGGCAAAAGAAAGCATACACATTCCGAATCATCAGGAACAGGAAAATCTGAAACTTCGCAGTCGAAAAAGATTGAAGAAATACACCATGAAGGAACAGTTGATAATCAAAGTACATCAACTAAAAAACATAAAAAGAAGAAAAGGAGCCACAAACGTAAAGATAAAGGTGAAGAGGAAAACATGTCTGTTGAAAAAATCAAAACAGGAGATAATATGTTTAAAGACATATCAATATCAAACAAGGATGATGAACCATCTACAACAGGTAAAGTTAAAAAGAAGAAACATAAGAAGAAGAAACAAATGAGTGTGGAAAGTCAACTGGAGATAAAAAATGACACTCCTGAGTCTGACTTATCCATTGAAGCGTCCGATGAGTCACAAAGCATTATACATGCAACACCTAAATATTTTTCTTGCGTTTCGGTCATGAATCAGTCACCAAAACCTAAACATTCTTCCGCTGTCAAGAATCGGTCACCAAAACCTAAACATTCTTCCGCTGTCAAGAATCAATCCCCAAAACCTAAAAACTCTCCAGTTAAGCATGATGTACAAGAAGACTCTTTGTCAGATATGTTTAGTGATTCTGATGAGGATGATAAGAGCGAAGATATGGACTCAGGAAACCTATTTGATGACATTATTCAGGAAATTGATAAATCAATAAATGAGAATGTTGATGACGAAACAAGTATTAACAACCAGGAAATGGCAGAAATTGTAAATCAGACCAGTGGCTTATCTGATCCTGAACAAATGTCATGCAACAATGGTAAAATAAACATAAAAGAAAATGAACAAGATCAACAAGAAATACATATTAGGAAGCATACAGAAAAAGTCAAAAACGAGACAAAACGAGAAACAGAAATTCGTATCTTTACTCCTGATGATGTTGAGAAGGCCATAGTTAGTGCTGGAGATAAATGTGATATTTTAGATGTATTAAACAACAGTGTTTTAAGCCATCGTACACCAAAAGCTCTTAAAGTACTGATGAAAACCAAGCCAGATTTATTCAAAGGACACCCAAGTAAGTTTAAAATTAATGGCCCCAATTGGAGGTGTGTGAAGGTTCATTACATTTTGTTGAGTTAAAAAAGTAGCAACTTTGAAGGAAATTCATCACAATGGATGTTCATTTACATTTTTTGGATTGAGGTCACTCTGAAATGAAATTTATTGTGTTTTTTGAGATTGTGGAGTATTGACTTGGTTGCTTTTTCATTGAACATTTATGATTGTCACTTATGTAGTTCTATATGTTCAAACATGATATTAATTCTCTGATTGAATCTTTTCAGAAATGATGAAGGGATATTGGCAGCACGCAGAAGTTGAACAGCTTGAGAAAAACTTCAATGCTTTTGTAAAGGTAATATTTTCCATATATTCTTTTCTGTATTGACTGCTGATTTCACATATTTTCACATACAGGGTGTTCAGGAAATAAAGATAATAATGTCATAACTTTTTTATTTGTTCATGGATTGCATTGAAAGTTTGAGAGATTATAGTTTTAACATATTTTAATTTATTGTTGGAGTTTCAGTCTCAGGTGATTCGATTGGTTGATTCTGCGGTTGTCATAGCAACGCGAGTAGCGCTAAGGTGGGGCAGGTGAATTAACTGCAGTATATTTGCATGCTTTAAATGTTTTAAAAAGAGATTCTATCATGTTTAGGACTTAAAATGGATGCTTAAAGATAGTTATAACTATAAGCCTGAAATTCTTTGCCAATTTATCAATTTATTCTACATAATTTCCTCCATTTTAGACACTAAACTATTTGCCTCTTGAACCTTCTTCAAATACTTCACAGAATTCTTCTTGACTCATTTCCTGAAGTCTGTTTAATATATGTGAACGTATGGCATTGGTATTCTCAAATGCATGTCCTCTTAAGTCCCGTTTTGATTCAGCGAAGAAGTATAAATCATTTGGCGCTAGGTTGGGTGAATAAGGTGGATGCTGAAGTTGCTCTTATCTCAGCTGATCAATTTCTTTAGTGATTATGGCAGCAGTATGGGAGGGGGAATTGCACCAAGTGGAAGAGAAATTGCATCCCGGGTCGCTTTCTATGTAATGCCTGCATTAATTCATGAAAATCCCATTGAATATCATTAAAAAAGCATTTATTTGACTCTTATATTATAAAACAAAACAATAGAAGAATTTTATTATGGAGATGCACCAGGAAAGCTTTAAATATGGATTCAAAATCGGTTTGCCATGCTAAATGTAACACAGAAACTACTGCAGTTATTCCATGTGCCCCGCCTTAGCGCTACTCGCATTGCTACGCCAACCACAGAAATGACAAATCAAATCGCTTGAAGCTGAAACTCCAAAAGTAAGTTTAAATATGTTGAAACTATAATCCCTGCGAATTTTACTGAGATCCATGAATAAATAAAAAGGTTATGACATTATTAGAGTCTATTGCTTTTGCCAGTTTTCTTATTATTCTCTCGTGTCACGTTTTCTCAGCAACTAGAAGAACTTACTCAAATCTACTTACAGGGTTAGTAAGGAGATGAGACCTAGTTTCTGGGAAATTAGGTCAAATTTTTATCTAGGTCAAAGGTCAAAATCTAGGTCAAATTCATAGTTTTCCTTATTTTTACGATTCTGACACTACACTTTAATAATTTGCTTCAAAATTTTGTATACAGGTAGCAAAGAGTGTGCTAATAGTGTTAGCCTTTTGCCGTCAGAAAGTATTTTGACCCACTTTTGAGATATGGTGTCCGAAATGTAGGTCAAACTAAAAAGTTAACCAAATTTAACATATGAGCTATGAAATAAGTGTAGAATTTTCTCAGGAATCTGAATCTGTAAACCAAATTCCGATCCGACATCCGGTTCAAAAGTTATGGCGTTTTGAAAATTTCGAGAAAAATCGTTCTGTTGATATCCTGATAGAAAGTCAAGAGTAGCAAAGAAAATATAGAAAAAATCATCCATCCTTCCTTCCTATCCTGTCTGATCATTAGGGGTGGGACGGATAACCGAAATACCGAAAAACCGCAGTTCATAGCCTTCGGATCGGTTTTCGGATCACGGCCCTACTTTCGGATCAGCTTTTCGGATCGTTTCCGGATTAATATTTCATTGGTCAAGTATCAATAAAACAGTTAAAAACACTGTTTTACAGCAACATTTTTGATATTCCTAGTCCCTACCTTGTCTATCTTGTCTGTTGCTAGCTCACTCGTTTACTAGATTAGTTTTGTATCCGCGTATTCGTATCCCTCGGTAATCAATCATGTGGTCCCTGGTACTATATTCTTTAGTCGTGTATTCTAAATAATATGTATTGTTCATGAAATACTATAACATAAAATTCCATCTATAAAATATTGTTATAACGTGGCATAATTGATACAAAGATTTGCGCAAATTTATATTTGCGCAGGTTCGAGATAGGGTATTATTTTGTGCGCACCCACAATACATTAAAATATGGCGTCTGGATCTCAAATTCCCGTTTTCCCAAAAGAAATAAAGATTATTTTATTGGTTGTATTAAAAGAAAGTGACAGTCAGCAGTGAAGTCAGAGACAAAGCAGCTTATCATGTCAATCAATACAAATCCATAAATGAATGAACCGAACCGAGAAAACCGAACCGACGGCTGATGATCCGAAAAACCGAACCGAACCGAACCGAAACGAACCGTCCCATCCCTACTGATCATATCCTTCCTATCTATCCTTCCTTTCTATCCTTTCCTTCCTATCCTATCCTTCCTTCCTATTCTATATCCTATCCTATCCTAGAACTGGGTCAAATCTTACATTTTCAATATTCTATCAATTATCTTCATCGTTATTTATCGAAACATCTCCATTTTTTCTCATCATGTAGCTTATAAACAGCCCATTTATAAGTGTGCCATCCGTTTCTTGATTACTCTTACTGATTTTGAAATATGGCGTCTGGAAAGTAGGTCAAAACAAAAAGTTCTCCAAATTCAATGTATGAATTATGAATTAGGAGTAGAATTTTGTCAGGAATCCAAATCTGCAAACCAATTTTCAATCCGACTCTCGGTTCGGAAGTTATGACGTTTTGAAAGCTCAAAAATCGCTAAATTTGGTGCCCCATGTTATGTCAATGAGAAAAAATATTTTTTTGATGTGTTAAATACCAGATATAGACTGAGTACAGCTTAACATTCTAAAAGCCCATGAAAGAAGGGGACTTCGAAGGCTATCTATATTTAAAATTTGGACACCAAAATGCCCAGGTCAAAATCTAGGTCAAATTCATAGTTTTTCCTTATTTTTGCGATTCTGACATTACACTTTAAAGATTTGCTTCGAAATTTTGTATACAGGTAGCAAAGAGTGTGCTAATAGTGTTAGCCTTTGCCGTCAGAAAGTACTTTGACCCACTTCTGAGATATGGTGTTCGAAAAGTAGGTCAAAATAAAAAAAAAATTCAAATTTAACGTATGAGTTATGAATTAAGGGTAGAATTTTCTCAGGATTCTGAATCTGAAATCGAAATTGAAATCCGACTTTCAGTTAAGATTCTATGCCAGTATCCAGAATGCAGATCGATGAAATATACTTTCAAAAATTCCTACATAACTACCCAGCTATCTACTTAGCTACTTCCTCAGCTACCTACTTAGCTACTTACTCAGCTTTCTACACAGCTTCTTACTGGGCTACTTACTCAGCTATCTAGGTCAAATCAAACAATCTGGAGTCTTAAATTGAACTTTGTTCAATTTACAAATCTAGTTATCTTTATTTCCTGAACACCCTGTATATGAGCTTAGTTTAAGATTCAGACTAATTAATGAGAACCTTCTTATTTGGTATGGCAAAAAAGTAGTATCAAATAAAGTTATTAGGCCAAACAGCCTTAACTATAAAAGCAGGCACAGACGACGTCATTGGTGTGACAACATTTTAATTTCTGTCACTTTTTTGTAGGAACACAATGTGACAAATCCATATGATTTACTCAAACACAAGGCTCTTAAGAAAGGGCCAAGAAAATCATATCTTATGAACCTCATAAGAAGGGAGAACTTCTACATTAAGCTTGGTGAGTTCATGTAGAGTGCATTCAATTAGAAATCATAATTCTCTGATAAACAGATAAAGCCTTCGTGCAGTCTAGCTACAAACTTCCCTCTGCCTAGTATTGGCTATATTACAATTTAGCAGCCCCGCCCCAAAAATTGGTGCCTGTGACAGCCCGTGGTTATAAATCATTTCGAATCTACCACGCTGATCCTTTCTCAACCAATCAGTGAAGTGGAAGGAACACATGCTAAATACGTGCTCATTAACTATGCGGTGATAACTATGTTGTATTTAGTACCCAAAAGCTCTAATTAGAGCCTTTCCATGATAAAATATCTTTGACTTTAGAGTAGAGACAGTTGAATGGACAAGAGTACAACACTTAAACTCATTTAAGTGGAACACCATAGGGACCAAAAAAGAGTCTATTGTAAAATTTATTGATGATACCTAAAATCTTTTGATATTGGATCTTTAAAAAAACATTAAATTGATTTTGTATAATGGTAATGTATTTTAAACTAAAACAACAATATTTCCATACATAACCAAAACAACAGGTTTGAAGAAAACCCACCTGCTATTGAAACTTCATCTACATGTACGCATTTGAAAAAAACTCTAAATCAAATTATTATTTGGGGATATCGTAGATCCAATCGTCTTACATTTTTCTTTTTTCATTGTATTTAGCATTTGGAATTAGGAGAACTTTGTATTGCTGCTACGTCAAGGCCAGGACAATGTTCCATCCACTTCATCACAAGGGAAGGTAAGGAATCAGCTTCTCTAATGACAGGCTAGGGACATTGGTCAATGTTTTCAATGTCCTCTCAAAACATCTTAAATTACATTCCAGATTCATCTCACCTTCCCTTTCCCCGAAAAAGTAATTACACACTCATGTTTTCAAAATTAAGGATTTCTTCTTTTTAGATATTGATGTTACCAAAAACCATTTATGATTTTTCTCACCCATTCAAAGGTAATTACATTTGTGGATGTACAAGTATATTAAGCTTTTTTATTATGTCACCACCAAAAGTGGTGACATATTGTTATGGTCTCCGTTTTTTTGCGACGGCGGTTGGTGGTTGGCGTCTGGCGGTTGGTGGTTGGCGTCCGGCATCCGGCGGTTGGTGTCCGGCGTCTGTAACAATTTCTTACAACTTCCTATAACTTAACAAATACTGTTTAGACTGACTTCAATTTTTTTCTAAATCATCTACATGTTCTCAGAAGTTCAAATCTGACTTTAGATTTGACATTTGACCTTCAATGACCTTCTCAAGATCAAAAAGGTCTTTTTTCAACTTGCTTCACATTGACTAAATTTTTTTTCAAAATCATCTATAAGATTTGACATTTGACCTTCAAATCTGACTTTAGATTTGACATTTGACCTTCAATGACCTTCTCAAGGTCAAAAAAGGTCAAAAAGGTCTGTTTTCAACTTGCTTCAAATTGACTAATTTTTTTTTTCAAAATCATCTACGTGTTCTCAGAAATTCAAATCTGACTTATGATTTGACTTAAGATTTGACATTTGACCTTCAATGACCTTCTCAAGGTCAAAAAAGGTTAAAAAGGTCTGTTTTCAACTTGCCTCAAATTGACTAAAAAAATTTTTCAAAATCATCTACGTGTTCTCAGAAATTCAAATTTGACTTAAGATTTGGCATTTGACCTTCAATGACCTTCTCAAAGTCAAAAAAGGTCAAAAAGGTCTTTTTTCAACTTGCTTCAAATTGACTAATTTTTTTTTCAAAATCATCTACATGTTCTCAGAAATTCAAATCTGACTTTAGATTTGACATTTGACCTTCAATGACCTTCTCAAGGTCAAAAAAGGTCAAAAAGGTCTGTTTTCAACTTGCTTTAAATTGACCAAATTTTTTTTTCAAAATCATCTACGTGTTCTCAGAAATTCAAATCTGACTTAAGATTTGACTTAAGATTTGACATTTGACCTTCAATGACCTTCTCAAGGTCAAAAAAGGTCAAAAAGGTCTGTTTTCAACTTGCTTCAAATTGACAAAAAAAAATTTTCAAAATCATCTACGTGTTCTCAGAAATTCAAATCTGACTTTAGATTTGACTTAAGATTTGACATTTGACCTTCAATGACCTTCTCAAAGTAAAAAAAGGTCAAAAAGGTCTTTTTTCAACTTGCTTCAAATTGACTAAATTATTTTTTCAAAATCATCTACATGTTCTCAGAAATTCAAATCTGACTTTAGATTTGACATTTGACCTTCAATGACCTTCTCAAGGTCAAAAAAGGTCAAAAAGGTGTGTTTTCAACTTGCTTCAAATTGACTAAAAAAAATTTTCAAAATCATCTACGTGTTCTCAGAAATTCAAATCTGACTTAAGATTTGACTTAAGATTTGACATTTGACCTTCAATGACCTTCTCAAGGTCAAAAAAGGTCAAAAAGGTCTTTTTTCAACTTGCTTCAAATTGACTAAATTTTTTTTCAAAATCATCTACATGTTCTCAGAAATTCAAATCTGACTTTAGATTTGACATTTGACCTTCAATGACCTTCTCAATGTCAAAAAGGTATTTTTTCATCTTGCTTCAAATTGACTAAATTTTTTTTCAAATCATCTAAATGTTCTCAGAAATTCAAATATGACTTTAGATTTGACATTTGACCTTCAATGACCTTGTCAAGGTCAAAAAAGGTCAAAAAGGTCTTTTTTCAACTTGCTTCAAATTGACTAATTTTTTTTTTCAAAATCATCTACATGTTCTCAGAAATTCAAATCTGACTTTAGATTTGACATTTGACCTTTAATGACCTTCTCAAGGTCAAAAAAGGTCAAAAAGGTCTGTTTTCAACTTGCTTCAAATTGACTAAAAAAAATTTTCAAAATCATCTACGTGTTCTCAGAAATTCAAATCTGACTTTAGATTTGACTTAAGATTTGACATTTGACCTTCAATGACCTTCTCAAAGTCAAAAAAGGTCAAAAAGGTCTTTTTTCAACTTGCTTCAAATTGACTAAATTTTTTTTTCAAAATCATCTACATGTTCTCAGAAATTCAAATCTGACTTTAGATTTGACATTTGACCTTCAATGACCTTCTCAATGTCAAAAAAGGTCAAAAAGGTATTTTTTCATCTTGCTTCAAATTGACTAAATTTTTTTTCAAAATCATCTACATGTTCTCAGAAATTCAAATCTGACTTTAGATTTGACATTTGACCTTCAATGACCTTGTCAAGGTCAAAAAAGGTCAAAAAGGTCTTTTTTCAACTTGCTTCAAATTGACTAATTTTTTTTTCAAAATCATCTACATGTTCTCAGAAATTCAAATCTGACTTTAGATTTGACATTTGACCTTCAATGACCTTCTCAATGTCAAAAAAGGTCAAAAAGGTATTTTTTCATCTTGCTTCAAATTGACTAAATTTTTTTTCAAAATCATCTACACGTTCTCAGAAATTCAAATATGACTTTAGATTTGACATTTGACCTTCAATGACCTTGTCAAGGTCAAAAAAGGTCAAAAAGGTCTGTTTTCAACTTGCTTCAAATTGACCAAATTTTTTTTTCAAAATCATCTACATCTTTTCAGAAGTTCAAATTTGACTTTACAAGTTCTCAAAAATTCAAATCTGACTTAAGTTTGAACTCATAATATTGTGAGCAACTAGGTGGTGACATTTTGTCATGTTAATGCCTTGTTCTGTTATATTCTGTTATATAAGAGGTTTTCTTTTGAACATTTTTACCTCTTTTTGTTACCCATAATTATTGAAACATATTCATTGCCCTTCCTGTCTAAAGTCGTTAAGAGTATTTTAACTTTAATAACAAGTTAAACTTCAGCAAACTTGTATGACATACTACTGTACTTCTACTTAATTTGGCGGCCGTTTTAATTTGGCATATCCGCCACTTGTAAAAGTCTGCCAAATTAAGTAGCTGCCAAATTCCCCAGTCATTTTAGTATGTATGTTAGTACCATTAGTACATTGTAATACTGCATGTTCGCCAAATTAAACAGCCGCCAAATATCAAGAATAGCAAATCCGCCAAAATAAGTAGCGCCAAATTAAGTAGAAGTACAGTATTAAAAACCCATCTCTTCAAAAAATTATATTATCAAAAATAGTAACATTCCAAGTACATTCAATAGGATGTCTAGCTGATTTGTATTTTGAACTATAATATGTAAATTAAAAGTATTGCTGAATAAAAAATATCTCTATATTTTAAGAATGAGTGATGAAAATATTAAAAAGCTAAAGGTCCTGCAAAATGAATATGGTAACAAATGGACCGTGATTGGTGAGAAATTGGACCATAGTGGATGGGCTTGTGTTAGTTCTTATCGTTCACATTGTTCTAAAAAGAGTAAGTAAAATGTTATTTAAAGGGTTTTAAATACATGTAGCTTTTATGTATTCTCCCTGACATTAAATTATTTGTAGCTCCTAATGATATTCAACTTACACAATCAATAGACTTGGAAATAAACCTTAATATAAGTAATAAATGTTGTGAGTAATAAACCCTGTGAGTGATAAACCTTGTGAATAATAAACCTTGTGAGTGATAAACCTTGTGAATAATAAACCTTGTGAGTGATAAACCTTGTGAATAATAAACCTTGTGAGTGATAAACCTTGTGAGTAATAAACCTTGTGAGTGATAAACCTTGTGAGTGATAAACCTTGTGAGTGATAAACCTTGTGAGTGATAAACCTTGTGAGTAATAAACCTTGTGAGTGATAAACCTTGTGAATAATAAACCTTGTGAGTGATAAACCTTGTGAATAATAAACCTTGTGAGTGATAAACCTTGTGAGTAATAAACCTTGTGAGTGATAAACCTTGTGAGTGATAAACCTTGTGAGTGATAAACCTTGTGAGTGATAAACCTTGTGAGTAATAAACCTTGTGAGTGATAAACCTTGTGAATAATAAACCTTGTGAGTGATAAACCTTGTGAATAATAAACCTTGTGAGTGATAAACCTTGTGAGTAATAAACCTTGTGAGTGATAATCCCTGTGAATAATAAACCTTGTGAGTGATAAACCTTGTGAATAATAAACCTTGTGAGTAATAAACCTTGTGAGTAATAAACCTTGTGCGTGATAAACCTTGTGAGTAATAAACCTTTTGAGTGATAAACCTTGTGAGTGATAAACTTTGTGAATAATAAATCTTGTGTATAATAAACCTTGTGAGTGATAAACCTTGTGAGTGATAAACCTTGTGAGTGATAAACCTTGTGAGTAATAAACCTTTTGAGTGATAAACCTTGTGAGTGATAAACTTTGTGAATAATAAATTTTGTGTATAATAAACCTTGTGAGTGATAAACCTTGTGAGTGATAAACCTTGTGAGTGATAAACCTTGTGAGTAATAAACCTTGTGAATAATAAACCTTGTGAGTGATAAACCTTGTGAATAATAAACCGTGTGCGTGATAAACCTTGTGAGTAATAAACCTTGTGAATAATAAACCTTGTGAGTGATAAACCTTGTGAGTGATAAACCTTGTGAGTGATAAACCTTGTGAGTGATAAACGTTGTGAATAATAAATCTTGTGAATAATAAACCTTGTGAGTGATAAACCTTGTGAATAATAAACCTTGTGAGTAATAAACCTTGTGAGTGATAAACCTTGTGAATAATAAATCTTGTGAATAATAAACCTTGTGAGTAATAAACCTTGTGAATAATAAACCTTGTGAGTGATAAACCTTGTGAGTGATAAACCTTGTGAATAATAAACCTTGTGAGTGATAAACCTTGTGAATAATAAATCATGTGAATAATAAACCGTGTAAGTAATAAACCTTGTGAGTGATAAACCTTGTGAATAATAAATCTTGTGAATGATAAACCTTGTGAGTGATAAACCTTGTGAATGATAAACCGTGTGAGTGATAAACCTTGTGAATAATAAATCTTGTGAATAATAAACCTTGTGAGTGACAAACCTTGTGAGTAAGGTTCCCCTGTTTCTTATTTCAAAAGACAATGAAGGACAAATAACAATATTTTAAGCATAACATTTCAATAACTCGGAAATCCAATGCTAATTTGTAAATGTATGTTACAGACCAAGGAATTTGGAGTAAAGAAGAGGAAATTCAGTTGGTCCAGGCCATCAAAGATGAACTTGAGACTGAAGATATAGAAGATCTGTTCTATGGCTTGCCGTGGGAGAGTATAGCAGCTAGGCATCCTACTAGGGATCCCAAACAATGTGCACAGAAATGGTATAAGCAATAGTAATTAAAGATAGTTAGATTGTGCTTAATATGATTAGATAATGTATATAAATTGTAATTTATGAAATTAGAAGTGATGTGATAATTATCAAAATAATATGATTAAAGGATCAGTCAGGAAATGGATATCGAGAAAATAACAAGATTATTAATGTCTAAAAACATCTCAATCTATCACATATACATGTAAATGTATTACTAAACTTATTACTCTTCTGAGAATCCAAAAACATCAATTTTTTCACATTCAATGAAGAAAGTTTTGCTCGAAGACAATGTATATCAATATGCTTGAATTGAATGATATATACAAAAAGGTTGTGACACATCCTCCAAAATACATTTCCTTGGAATAACTGATTGAATGGTATTTTTTGATGACTGGATTTGTATTTATCTGAGTAATCAAGGGATTATAGTCACTCAAAGTTGCTGACCGTTAACACCTCAAATTTCGTTGGCGAAGCTGAGCACAACTTTACAGTTACAATTTTACAACCTCTTTACATGATTTAGATGATAAACATTTACAATTATTCAAAAAGCTATACCATAAAACTGTGCTCAATGTGAAAACTGAAAGTTTAGCATTTTTAAAAAAAATTAAAATGGCGGGAAATACAAATATGTATATATGCATCGAAACTCATGAAAAACTGCATATACTTATCAAATAAGATGTGTGACTAGGACAGTAATGAAATTATATTTTTCAGATTAAAATAAAAGGGCATATATATCATGACTCATCCTTATTCATCTTTCATACAAAACAAAGTCTACATTTACAGTTATAATTTTGTTTTTTAGTTCTTGTTGGCTCTTTTGATTTTTCATCTAAAATATGGTTTCTTGATCTTTGCAGGGGGACCCAAATATCTTTTAAAGGAGGTTTGAACTGGATCAGAAAATATCAAATAACAAATGAAGAAAAGATTCAGATTATAACCAGGTATGTGTGCACTAATTTATCAAATCGAAAGACTTTTTTTTAAATTTTTATTTGAGTTACAATTGTCTCACACAGACACCATATGGCATTTGTGTGTGGTAAAGATAATGTAACTGGATATCTGAAGGTAAAAACAGTTATCTTTATCCTGGCTAGGGCCATAGGCAGTTCTAACCAACGCCAGCCTTTTATAGAGTCTGCAGCTCTCTTAGTAAACACCTCTCTTGTTTAATTATTTTCCCATTGAACGAAATTCGGAGGGATATAGGGAACGCCTCCGTCCGTCCGTCCGTACATCCGTCCGTCCATCTGGGCAATAACTCAAATACCGTTGGCCCGATTTTGTTCATATTTTGTACACATATACCCTATGGGGGTAGAAGTTCTGCTCGAAAGCCGATTTTCAAAATGGCGGCCATTTTAGTGCCGATTTTACAGTAATTTAGGTGCAATATGTAAAACTGTAATAGCAATATGTTTTAAATGTAAAAAAATTATGTAGGACATTAATAAAGCTAGAAATGTAGATATTAAAAAAGCACATGGCAGCCATCTTGAAAAATGGCAGCCTTTACTCATTATTTTACAATTTTTGCTGTAACTCGAAAAGTAGTGGAGTGATTTTGTTCATATTTGGTATGTGAGTACTATAAGCATGGCACACTGTCTAATGACACTTTTGGTAGAAGGCGGCCATTTTGAAAAATGGCGGATATTTTGACTTATTTTACTATAACTCGAAAAGTAGTGGAGCGATTTTGTTCATATTTGGTATGTGAATACTATAAGCATGGCACACTGTCTAATGACACTTTTGGTAGAAGGTGGCCATTTTTCAAAATGGCCGTCATTTTAATGTATTTTACTATAACTCGAAAAGTGGTAGAGTGATTTTGTTCATATTTGGTATGTGAATATTATAAGCATGGCACACTGTCTAATGATACTTTTGGTAGAAGGTGGCCATTTTGAAAAATGGCTGCCATTTTTGCTATATACTTTGTTTGTAAAAATGCCAGCCATGGCTGTTCGATGGGATTCGCTACGCTTTGGCGTTGCCGTTGTTCTGGTTTATGTTTGTCATCGTCTTATTGTATTCTGGTTCAGATTTCAATTGTAAAGAAAGTAGAGATTGACTTGACTTGACTATATTCTTACTTTTCTTTTCATGAGAAAGTACTATAGGATCAAATTATACACCATTGATAAGAAAATAGGCATTCTAGCTTCCGATTCTTACCCTTCACTTCCTTTTCTGATGTAATTTTAGGATAGGGTAATAAACACAAAAAGGCAATATACAATATTGTCTCCATATCATAAGGAATTTATGGGAAAATATTGAGTTACAATAATTCAAAACACATAATATTGCCATAAAGATTATTGTGCCACATGAATTGTGACATAGTTGCTATAGCTACAACAAAGGTCTATTGTATTTCAGGGTCTATGAGTGCCACGCATATTGTGAAATAGTTGCTATAGCTACAACAAAGGTCTATTGTATTTCAGGGTCTCTGAGTGCCATGCATATTGTGAAATAGTTGCTATAGCTACAACAAAGGTCTATTGTATTTCAGGGTCTATGAGTGCCATGCATATTGTGAAATAGTTGCTATAGCTACAACAAAGGTCTATTGTATTTCAGGGTCTATGAGTACCATGCATATTGTGAAATAGTTGCTATAGCTACAGCAAAGGTCTATTGCATTTCAGGGTTTATGAGTGCCATGCATATTGTGAGGGTGAACTTGACTGGGAATCTATGCATCATGAACACTTCAAGGAGTAAGTTTAATTTGGCTGTTTCTAACATTAAAGGAATTAGAGTCTACTTGTATCTTGTGAGTTAGTCGATTAACACACAAAATTCACATCAATCTTTTTGTTTAATTTCATGTTTTTAATTTTAAAAAGTTGAAATTGGTAAAAAACAGTTTAGAAAATTATTGAGATTGAAAGCGAGTGTTAAATCATGACTGAGTTTCCAAATGTGTCAGTTTACCCTTTACTGAACCATTAGTTATCCATTAGTCTATCCTTTCCCTTTTGCTAGGCCATCATTGAATACATTTGAATTTTCAGTTTTTGTTCATGTTCAAGTCAATGGGACATCTAAAACTGGACCATGAAGTGTTAACATCTTTAGGTGTTCACGCTTATGAGATGTTCACTACTTGATTGTTTTACTGTAACATATCTATGTCCTGGGCATTTGCAGGTCTATCCCTTCTCCAATGATACTCCAAAGACAATGGTTTAAACTGAAAAGTACTGTTCCTCAGTACAAAATCAAAGATTTTCAAGGTAAGGCATTCACTGCATCCCTAAATGTTGGGGGTCTAGAAACAGACAGAAGGTCTAGAAAGAGACAGGGGGGCAAGCAACAAACAGGTGGTTAAGAAGGGGGTCTAGGAACAGGCAGGGGGTCAAGAAACAAGCAGATGGTCTACATGTAGAAACAAATGGGGTCTAGAAACAGACCGGGGGTCAAGAAACAAGTAGAGGGTCTAGAAGGGGGTCTGGAAAATTGTAAAACTTCCTTTCTATATTCTCTTCATTCTTTATTTCAACCCACACTTGTGAGTATTAAAGGAATATTATGATTTATAGTGGATAAAATGGTTTAAAATAACACTTTTCTGGCTATAGACATGATTTCCTGGTCTAATACCTTCTTTGGTGAACCTATTTTCGAAATACCCTAAAAGATCAATTCAAAGTTGATGTTTGACAGTTCCAAGTTTAGACTGAGGATTGAAAAAGTTCTAAGAACTTTTATTTTTCTGGGTAGACTGGAAGTAAAGGACCTTATACACCCTCCATTGGGATCTCCCCATGGGAAAAAAAATAATTCATCTGATTTTTCAAAATGAGTATTCTGCTTTAATTATAACATTTATATGTACAGTACACTAGTATCTTGTTGACCTATATTCAGCACTGTATTGATGTATAGGCCACTTATTAAGGTCATAATTCAATCATGAAGTGTAGAGGCATATGATTCCAAACCAGGAAGTATTTTTGTGTCTGTCAAAATCGATTTGCATCCTACGCATCCCTACATCTTATCCAAATATGTTACAACATAATGAAATAAAATAGTATATTCTTTTTGGTTTTACATGATAAGTGTAAAAGTTGTTTTTGGAGCATTTTTCTATGGCCATTTTGTAGGGAAAAAAATGATGAAAAAATGTACAATCTTTTAATTTTAAGTATGACCTGAATCGATTGCAAACTTCATATTTGCACATTTGATGAGATAAACCAATAGTGTCATATTGTGAAATTATTAAGTTTGCAATCACTTCAGGTCATAGTGGATTTTTGGTATTTTTGTGATAATCAATAGAAACCAATGGCCTCTATTGGGATCTGCTGATATCCTCATGTTAAGTCAATGATGAACAGCCCCATGTAAGTCAATACAACCTCACTAAACTAAATGGCCCCTATCTCAGCCTATGTGTGCCCGAGGACTTTAATATTTTCCAAAGAGTTATATGACATTCTATTCTTCATGTTTCACCTAAGAATTATTCATTTTGACCATAGGGGTATTTGCCAATAAACGCACGTCTTCCTTTACGAGTCGAGTATATGGTGAAAATGTTCTTTTTATGAAGCGGGGAAGCCAAAACAGTACTTTTAGAATTCATAGTAATAAGCATTTAAAGATCATTTAGAAGCATTTAAAATCGAATCCAAGGCAAAATTGAAATAACTGAAATCTGTATTCGTCTTCTTCATGGATGTCACAAAACACACCTCCGGTTAGTAATCAATGATTTTATCTATCAAAAAATATTTTTTATGAATTTGTCCAATATCTGCTTAAATATGCTATGTATATTTGCGTTGAAAAATAGGTAATTAGGTAAAGATTGTGTCAAAGTCGTTTGATCTCGTCCCAGAAGCAATATTTTGTCATTTCTGTCGCCTAGAAATTCCCTTTAAATAGTACACACAGTATACATTTATATTAGTAACAATTATCTTCATTAGTTGAGTATTTAGTACTCCATTAACAGTGTAATGTATTCCAGAGATTTGTGACTACCTGCACAACAGTTACTTGCCACGGCTTAAGGCTACTGGCACACGGAAGAAATCCAGGGGTTCATCAGGGAAAACTCATTATACCAGTAATGAATTCATATCCGACTCTGATTCAGACTCAGCATAAGGAGAACAATATCTGCAGTATATGATGTATATACAGATTGAACATGAAGCCTAGGTACACAGGATTTCTTCAGTTGAATAAGTAGAACAAAATGGAGTCAAAATATGAAGAAAAACTATATCTGTTCGAGCCTGTAGTTGAATACATGTACATGTTGCAAACAGAATTGTATTTGCAAGTTGATAATTCAGGCTCAGGGAACAGAAATTTTATCCTACATTATGTTAAAGAAATCTGATGGAATTAAGAATAGCAGTGGAATAAATGTACATCAATCAGAAGTGAATATGAACACGATTTTGTTTTAGACTACTTTTTGTGAAGGGAGTTGGCAACCGGTGTCTGTAACAAATGACAGGTGGTGACATTTTGCAGGTTAATGTCTTATTAGATCATGTAACTACCAGATATCCCTAGGAGACGTCTATATCTGTCACATCTGTAATGGCTTGAAAGCAAGTGTATATGTGGTTGAATCAAGAGAATGTCCTTGGTTGAATCAAGAGAAAGTCCATGGTTGAATCAAGAGAAAGTCCATGGTTGAATCAAGAGAAAATCCATGGTTGAATCAAGAGAAAATCCATGGTTAAATAAACCCATTTATAATGTATTTTTACAAAATTCTACAGAACCAGAGTTTAACCTAATTGTACTATCAACTTATTAATTGAAATATGAACTAGCCTCATTTGTACAAAGACTTTTATTTTTCAATTAAGATTTTTATATATTGTACAACTGTAATGGGAGTTTGCAGCTGTTCTTCTCATTGTGGCTTTTCATCTTATGGTACCTTCCTCATTTTGTTCAGTTGTGTGTTAAGGAAGCTATAAGTACAGATTAGAAAATGTTGAACATGCATGCTGTTATTATCTAACCACTAGGCCTATATAGCATCAAATTAATTTAGCTCCTCTTTTTGTTTGTGACTGGCATTCAACGGTTGGTGGGCAGCATTACCGGACAGTGTTCTACATCTGTTACTAATTGTTACATACTTTTGTAATATATATTCTTATTGTAACTCAGTGAAAATGATGACAATTAATATACATGTATCTTTTTATTCTACACAAGTAATCAAAGTGTGCAATGAAGATTTTGTGTTTGTTTTATCATGTAAAGCTTTATTTTTGTTGATGAATATCATTTTTTCAATGCAGGTATTTTGTAATTTTGGAAACTATGTCTTGTTTGAATATACCCTAATTTAATGGAGAATATTCCAAAGTTGATACGCTGCAGTTGATATCCATTGTCTCAGTCAGCTTAGACATATTAATGATTAATGGAGAATATTCCCAAGTTGATACGCTGCAGTTGATATCCATTGTCTCAGTCAGCTTAGACATATTCCTGATTATCATGAAATATCTTGTTTATACTACAATCTTTTTGAAGAATTTAATAGAATATAATTTTGAAATATATGAATACCTGTGAATATCTAGTTCAGTAAATACATGTACATACCCAAGAAAAGTAGTATGTTATAGGCCAGTAGACAGCTTTTTTCAAGGGGGGTTCACTTCTTAAAGTATTCCAAGAGGGTTCACATTTGACAACTTTGACCAAAACCATTGGGAAAGTGCTCAGAATTGGGAAAAACTGCTTCTTTCTGAAATGATTTTTGGTCGGGGGGGGGGGGGGTACTCAAAACCTCCTCCTTGGCTACTGGCCTGTGTTATATCAATTTATGACATCATACAATCAATGGCTCTTTATTTTGATTTATTCAAAAGTTTGATTCAGTTCTTTCTTGTGAAGAATAAAATACAAAGGGAATGCTATAAATGGAATGTAAGTAAAATATAACCATGTTCACAACTACTGTGGCTACAACACTGTAAGATAGGCTACCACATGTTGTATTCTGTCAGAAGTTGAATGGAATATTATATTTAAAGGCATTATACTTTTTAGTGATACACCAATTTCCTTACAACAATTGTATTTTGATGTTATAGAGTGTATGTTTTTTTTAAATTTGAAATGTACATATTGACTCACTCTTATTTGAGAATCATGCAGTAATTCAAATAAAATATATTATAATGTTATACTACAGTTTCTTAATTGTTTGGATTTATATTGTTTAAATCTAGTCAAATCTGAACTGTATGTACTTTGTAAAGGCTGCTAACATGGCTAATGGTGAATATTATACCTGGGACATACCACCCTCCATGTTCACTGTATCAAATGTTTTTGCTTTGATCTCTGATACATTGTAATAACTGACATTTCTAGTTGTGCTCAGTACACATACCAAGCCCCTGGTATAAGATAAACCCTTTTCAATCCTCAAACTTACACCCTATACAGACTGTGCCATACAAAAACAAGCGGTAAGGATATCATGTGCCCAAGGTGCGTATATTAACAGTCATTTTTGAATTTGTAATATTTCATAAACCAAGCCACATTGGGTACTCAGTTATAGTCATCCATTTGTAGAGGATACCTAATAAAAGGGAAATTTTGTCTATAACGCACTAAGCATTCATCCTTGCTCCATTGCAAAGAAATTGAAATTCATGCTTTATTACACAGTTTACAGCCTTCATTCAGTATTGGTGATCGAGATAACCAATCAATAAAAATTATTTTTGCATTTTGAAAGACATGAACTTTCTGTGTGCATTTTTAAAATATTGAAAACATTTGTCGGATATATGCTACCTTCTAAACAAGCAGTGCAGATATTGTCACTTTTCGGATATCTGCACTGCTTGTTTCGAGGTAGCACATTTTTGTTTGATGTTTCCCAATTTGTATAAAATCACACAGAAACCCCTCTACTTTCAAAATGCAAATGCAATTTGTATGGACAGGTCATCTCATGGGCTTTCAACTAGACTATGGTCATCGATCACCAATATTGAATGAAGGCTGTTTACGCTGTGAAATAGCTGCAATTTCAAATTATTTGCTTTAGAGAGAGTATTATTAATTGATGTGTCGCTATAAAATGAACTGCACACCTATTTACACAATTTCCTTTTTTATTAGGGAATCTGTACACATGTTAGAATATAATCGAGTACCAAATATGCCATAGCAAGTTAGTTGGTGAAATATCACAAAATCAAATTCAAAAATTACCATTAATATCTGCACTTTGCGCACATGATATCCGCACCGCTTGTTTTCGTATATTGCACAGTCTACATAGAGTGAATTAAAAGGGAAACAAAATTAAGTGCATTTACAGTACAGTAATTCTTCATTTTCCAAACCTGCTGCTTTTTAGCTTTCCTATCAATCTTGCGTTGTCTCCTCCGTTGTGTCCTAGCCACCATAGCTGCTGCAATCGCATCCAACTCTGCAGCTGTTTCTTTGGTCAGCACAAGGTCTCTCTGTTATAGGTAGAATATCGAAACCAATAAAGGCTCTTTTAATTTTGACATTTCCCAAGTCTATTATATTACCATAGGCTTTAGGGAAGGCACTTGAAAATTCTAGCCATGGTTTTGAAAATCTTGGTGTATTGAATAATCAGCGGGATTTGATACTAAGATTAAAATTACTTATTGTGCAGCATATGTATGTCAATAGCTTATAGAGAAGGGGGAATTCTTTGGTAGTATCACATTCATAAGTGGAATGGTCTCATCTATATGTACATGTATGTGTGGTATAGTTCATTACAGCTAAATAAAAAATGCAAGAATGAAAAATGTAATTTTTTGAATTGTCCTAACATAACATTGTATTCAGTATATTCTCCTTTGTAATTTTACAAAATCAAATAAATCAATGAAATCTTACAAACACATCACTTACTGTTAAGATAGCAGGATAACAGTGAGTTGTAAAGGCCAACAGGCTCATTACCAGATATCCAAATATTACATGTTTTACCACTATCTTCATTCTGCTTGCCTTTGTGAAAGTGAATGTACTTATCTATGCATGGATACCTGAGGAATGCCCACATCTGGTAAAGGGAGTTGTAATATTTGCTCATATACATACATACATCTTTTTTAATTGGATTCATCAGTCCAGGGAGTGCTGCTCGTATATTGATTACATGAGGGCTACCCAATAATTAAGACATGTATTGTAGTTTGGATAAAGGATGAGTGTCTTTAAGGTTTGTATTTCAAACGTTATTTTCCAATCTCTTTTACAGAGGTAATTAATAAAGGTGGTGGTGTCTTTGTCACTTTTTAGCTCACATGGTGAACTATTGCAATCACTCACTTGTCCGTCTGTCCGTCCGTCTGTCAACAACTGGCCCCTTTATAAAACCTCTGTCACTAGGATCCCCGTTTATAGTTATTTTTGTTCAACATCAATATAGAAACCCCCCCCCCCCCCCCTCTATGATTCCTGGTTCAAAAGCTCGACTATTTTCAAAATGGCCGCCATTTTTGTCTGGCGAAATTCACTTTTGGACCATTTGCTTTAAAAACTGTGTCGATAGGATTTCCGTTATAAGTTATTTTTGTTCAACATCAATACAGATTTTCAATAATACTTATCATATACTTCTAATCTTATCATACATCTTCCATTACAAGCCTTTAAACACCAGAAAATCATGGTGTCGGTATACAGCAATGGTTTTCGGTACAACGCGCATCGGTATAACGGCTACAACGCGCATCGGTATATTGGTTTAATGAGGTGATACTAAAATGGCATTACGGACCAGCAGTTAACATGTTATTTTCCAATACTGTGCGTCCCAAAAACGCAACAAACAAAAACATTGTAAAATCACAAAACAAGTGATGATTACATCAATTTCATTTAGTTTACCATGAAGCCACGTGTCTCCTTTTCCCAATGATATGTAATTTGTTCATATCTGATCATGGACCACTGAAAAATCATTGTTTTTTCGTACATGGGTCAAACAGCCTTTGTGCTAAGTTATGAAATATCAACTTGTCCTTATTTTGCAATCAGGTAAATGGATTAAATTCTTGTCACAAGATTTACATAACACGTTTCTGATTAAGATTTACTAAGGAAAAAAGGAAAATAAAATTTAAATTTAAGTGTTCATCAGTATCCTTGTTGGTTCTGTAAATGAAACATATGGAAAAAGTGGCATAAAGAGTCGTCTGTCATCTTATGAAAGACTACTCATGAAAGATTACATTCCATGCCCTTTTACATGACCACTATATTTCTCTACACACAGAGACTGGCTTGTGCCTCCATTTCGCACATCTCTTTGAATCATCTCGGTTTCTGGCGGAGAGCGGCAACCTCATTGGTGACTCTTTATTAACTGTTGCAATGTCCAAAACTTCGTCCAGAGCGGATTTGATTTTGACCCGTTGTGCAAAATGAATGAATATTCAGTGGTCTGTGGTCGTATAAGCTTACGAATAATTGACAT